GGCGACTATTGCTGGGTGCTTGTTAATGGAGTCGCTTTCCTCAATGTGTACAAGGCACCCAGAGACACATCAGCCGTACAGCCACTTATCAATTGGACCCCGCCGCCGAACTCAGTCGCTACGGGTGATTTCAATTCGGTGTACTGTGCCTGGCAACCAGGAGTCACGAGCCCCTACGGGCAAGGTGAAATGATTGAAAGATGGGCAGAAGATCACAATCTAACCTGCCTTATTGTTGGAGAACCCACGCATCAAGCTGGAAATACCCTGGACCTTGTCTGGACCAACATTAATGGCAGCCGTGCATGGGTCGACCATGATGAATGTGTCACCAGCGACCACCTTCCTATCCGAGGAATAATCCCGGTCCAGTCCGCAACATTGAGACCCAACTTGGGCAAGATTCGAGTGACGAAGGAAAGACTGCCCGACTTTGCACGAGCTGTTACTAAGTTGGTCCGTCTACCGCCAGTTTTAGATACAATCGAAAAGGTCGAAGACTATGCCCAGGAACTTTGCTTAAAACTTAAGACTGCTATCAATGCAACAGGAACTCGAGCCAGAGCAAACGGCGGTAAATCAGCCCCGTGGTGGACCCCGGCGTGCAAGGAAGCACGGGCTGAATATCGAGCGGCAGAATCACCTCTCCAACGTGCAGTGTATGCTAAAAAGCTCCGATCAGTCATCAGAGCTGCCAAAAAAGAACATCAAGCACAGCAGGTGGAAAGAATGAACACGCCGAACGATGTTTTTAAGCTGATGAGAATGGCTGGGCCTAGACAGACAAACATTCCACCACCCCTCAATCACAACGGAGCTCTCATCTCTGATCCACTAGAGCGAGCCACAGTTCTCCGTGACTGTCTCCTGGCAAGACACCAAACATCGGACGACCTGCCGCCTTGCATCGCCACGAGTAACAACCGTATACCATGGAAGGACGACATCTCCGAGGAAGAAGTCCGAGCTTGTACTATCGGCTGTGGAAACACGGCTCCGGGAGCAGATGGAGTCTCCGTACAGCTGCTAGTGGCCTGCTGGAAGACAATTGGACCCTGTATAGTCAAGCTCTTTAGAGCTTGCATACAGCTCGGTACGCATCCGACTTGTTTCAAATTGGCCGAAGTAGTACTCGTACAGAAGCCTAAAAGGGACCAAACAACTGTCAAAGGATGGTGACCAATTGCCCTTCTTTCTTGCCTTGGTAAAGGACTTGAAAGACTTCTGGCAAAACGGATGGCGCACTTAGCAGTGATTTGTGATGTAGTTGGTCGGCAACAATTCGGCGCACTCTCGAGGCGCTCAGCAACAGACCTAGTCTCCTGTGTAGTACACGATGTCGAGGAGGCGCGCACACAAGGGTGGGCGGCCACTTTCATCACCTTAGACGTACAAGGTGCGTTCGATGCAGTTCTTCATAACCGTCTAGTGAGAAGAATGCAAGAACAAGGATGGCCAGACTCAGTTCTAAAGTGGACAACTTCGTTCCTTGCACAACGAATGGTACAGGTCCGACACTCGGAAGGAGTCACGACAAAGCGACAGCTGGTTTGCGGGGTCCCACAGGGCTCGCCGATCTCGCCTCTTCTCTTTCTTCTATACATGGCAGAGCCAATGCGGAGTGGTACTCCTAATCTAAGGTTTAGTTACGCTGACGACATCGGCATTCTTGGATTTGGCCACACCACTGCTGAGTCTGCTGGAGCTGCCCAGAAAGAAGTCAACCACCTGCTGGAGTGGGCTCAGAAAAATGCTGTCCAATTCGACACAGAAAAGTCAGAGGTAGTACAATTTCCATCATGGCATCGCGAGGCAGCAGTTGGAATCTACGTAAACGGCACTCTCATAGAACCAGCTGAACAAGTTCGCTGGCTTGGAGTTTACCTTGATCCGCGTCTTAACTTCAAACATCATGTGATGACGTGGTCCGGAAAAGCAATGAAAGTCGCACATCTTATGCGACGCTTCAATTCTACTTTTCGAGGGGCCGCACCAGGAGCGCTGATACGAGCAGTAAATAGTTGTATTGTTTCAATCGCGACTTTTGGAGCGGAAGTCTGGTGACCCGGCCTCAAACGCCCAACAAGAGCAGGAATAGCCATGCCAGCTACCGCGAGACTTTGTACTATGATCGATAAGGTCAACATGATGGGTCTCCGATCTGCACTTCCGGTTCTGCGGACTACTCCGAATGTGGTCCTGCACAGGGAAGGAGAAATCCCTCCCGCAAACATTATTCTAGAGGGAAACCGACTACGATTTTCAGCCAGAATAAAAACCCTCGATGACCAGCACCCGCTGAGATCTCGTGCTGCGATGTGCCCAAACGTTGGGACTCGAAAGTACAAGGAAAAACCTCGAAGATTTAAACTTGTAGATAGACAAAGGACTCGTGCACAGCGTGCCTATCGACAACTTCCGGATGCAGAAGCTTTGATGCCTCTGCCGCCGCCATCCTACTCTGCTAGATACATGACCAAGTCAGAAGGAAAAGAAGCAAGCAAACTTTGGATAGACAACGTGCCCGCATCGGAAATTTGCGCCTACTCAGACGGCTCTTCGGAGGGAAACGGACGTTCAGCTTGGGGTTTTGTTGTGAAGAGATATGGTAAAACTCTTCTCAAGGAGAATGGTATCCGACACGGAGGAGAGGTCTTGGACGCAGAAATCACAGGGGCACTGAAGGCTCTTGAGGCGGCGTTGAGAATTAAAGAAGCGCAACAGCAGCTGGGGGAGACGATCCGGCGAGTGATTGTTTTTCTGGATAGTCAACATGCTATAAAAGCACTTGAGACGGACATCTCTTCAACCAGCCTCGAAGAGGTACGTCAGTTTCGCATACTCTTAGCGTCCGCTGCTGTGACGATTAAGTGGATCCCCGGTCACTCTGGAATACAAGGGAACCAAGAAGCAGACGCTACTGCGCGCCTCGGCTTACGAATGCTACCCAGTCCGGACAACCAACCAGAAACCATTTCGTTGGCATACCTTCGCCGTCTCATGAATAACCGGCTACAGTCTTTGCTCAACGATTGGTGAGATAAAGTGTGCCCTGTTCGGTATCGAAAGCTAGATCTGCTCATGAAACGGCGCAAGCCCCCTGAACTAGCCCTATCAAGGCATCTGCTACGCGAACTAATTGCGGCCCGTACGGGCCACGGCAATTTTGCGGCCTATCATCGCCGATTCAACAATGCAGACGCACCTAGTAAATGCGCGTGTGGGAAAGAGACTAGCCCAACCCACTTTATCCACTGTCGGCTCCACTCTCATGAAACACGTCGAATACGAGGACTTAAGTCCCACGACGACTTTATACATGAAATTCTAGGACCCAAGTGCCTCGAAGCATTCAAAAATTTTGCACAGAAAACCCGGTGTTATGGGTGATCAGCTGCAGGCTAGACCTCTGCTCTCAGCGGGGTCCATATAAATTAGTCATGTAATATGACTCGATCGGAAGGGGAACAAGGCGAGAAGTTTTGCTTCCCAACCACAAGTGCTGATATTTAGTTGGAGCTCAAAGTTTTGGAGCCTGGAGTTATGTTGTGATTTCTATTTTGTATATGGCTGCATGTAATTTAACTAGCTACTGGTTTTGTAGTGGTTCACGCGGTGGGACCGAGTTGGACATGTGGGAAGCATGATCTCGGCCGTGTACGCCGGTCCTTGATTCCTAGGAGATATAGAGCTTAGCTTAGGACCTAAAAATAAAATCAAATAAAATCAAATATCAAAGAAAAGTACAGAAAAGTACAGAAAAGATAACTCAATTTACAAGAGGGGCACTCATGCCTCGGATTTCATTTGCAAGTACCACTGCGAAGTTATGGCGGCTTTTTCTTCACCCCAAGTCAACCCTCATCTGTGAATACCCACCCAGGGGAACGTCTCAAAAACCCTGAGTTATCCAGACATGCCTCCATCATCTTTCAAATTTTCTCCGCGCGAAATATGGCCTGAGATATCTCCTTCCCAAGTGGAGTAGGTGCCCAGGCTACTCAAACTACAACAGAGAACATCACCAGGAGGCGGATCACAACACCTTCCATCGTCGGCTTGTTTTTATAGTGTCAGCTGCACTCTCGCAAGTGAAGTCTTGGCGCGCACAAAGCTCAATTCGTAAAACTCTTGCCAAAATTCGAAATTTCACGCCCGTCAAAAACGTATCCCTCTTCTGCATCATCTTATAAACTTGTACTGATCCCTCTCACGTCCGTCCCAAAAAGCTATCTAACAGATTTGTGCTCCACGCTTTGCTTCCTCCGTCGGGTATAAATAACGGCGTGGGCGTGTATTTTGTGGTCGAGGCCAGAGAAAGTCGACGAGAGGTATGGTCATTGGGATGAGGATGTACTAGGTCGTACTTGTAGACTTGATGAAGCCTAGTTGAGAATCGGATTCTTTGGGAATGAAAGATTGACATGGTGGAGTAATTTGAATTTTTGCCTCGTGGGCCAACTTCTTTTATATTGCGAAATTTGACTGAACTTGGCTCTGTGAGAATATTTTACTCCCAGGTTCGTAGAGGACACCGCGTATAGGTGTTCAGTCCTGTCCTCCGGTTAGAGGGGTCTGTAGAGAGCGGCTGAAGTCTACGCAAAAATTACATACTTATGACGAGAGTTGCAGTAGGGATCTTTTCTCGGAATAAAGAAGAATAGTAAAATTGTACAAATTGTGGTCTGGGTGAGGGAGAATACCAATGTGCCAGATGGTCATTGACTCAGTTAGCACAACCCGAATCAAAGCCTTTTTATATTTCTTTAATGCTTATTTTGCTCCAGGTATACTCCACTTTTCTCGAAAACAATCACTAATTTGACGAACAGATGGTTATTTGGCTCATCAGTATTTTTGCTTTCGCATCACTTAGAGATATCCACGTATAATCATCTAACTGTTCCTTATCCAGAACGCCTAGAGTACAAAATCTCCAATTATCTTACACATGAAGGTTGATTACTGATAGCACAGTGAAAAAGGCTGAAAACAGTACTCTATGCTTCCCCTCCTCCCTCACTTTTTCGTTTGGCTTTATATGTTGAAGCGCTACTCAAACTCGCACTTCGACTATGAGTGCCATTTTCCTCGTTATTCCGCTCTAAAAATCCTTGCAATAATTCGGTAAGGGACTCCTTACGTGTAAAACTGTCTCCAAGAAATTCTGAAGAGAGAGAAGGGGTGCTAGGTGTACGATGGAAAGTTGGATTCAGTGAGCGTAACGAGGAACCTGAAGTCCCAGGACGCGCCAGGCCTGCCTGTTCTCTTTGCCCATCAGTCCAATGAAGAAGAGAGGCAATCAATTGTAAAATCTGGAATTTCTTCGGGTCGGAGCGATCAAGGGTGAGGAAGTGGAGGAAGTGATTTGTGACAATTTGCCTGCAAAGTCTAAGTTAGAAATTATATCCAGATGATGGAGTTCAGTATTCACCTATCTACGTTGTCCTCTGGCTTAGCTTTCTTGAGAAATTTCAGAGCTTTTATGAGATGATCATTTAGTATGATCGCTTCATGCCTTAACTTTCCAATCAGAAGATTTTTTTCTTTTATCTCATTTTCCATGGGTGCTAAGCGATCAATTTCGGCTTGAAGGGCCGCCTTGGATGCTTCTGAGTCTTTAGCGCGGAATTCTGCCGATTGAACGAGTTTCTTTAACTTCTGTAGCTGATCTTCGTAGGATTCCACAGTTTCGTGTAGTTCTCGCCTACATGATTCCTGTATATTATGCATATTTGTTTGCAGATTATTCATAGCCCTTTTTTGGTCATTCTTTTCTGAGAGAGCCGAATCAAGAGCTTGCTTTTGAATGATGGCCTGTTCTTCAAAGTCTTTAATTCTATCTACAAGAGTCTCCCGCATGGATCTTTCTTCGGTAGCTAAGAGCTCCCAGTCTCTCATTCCTTCCTTTGCTGCTTCGGCTTCTTTCTTGAGTCCCTGTAATTGTCTCAAAAATCCTTCTCGCTCATCTGACCAGTCTTGCATAGAGTTATTGTGCTTGGTTTGAAAGTTCAAGATCTCGTTTTCTGAATCTAGAAATTTAGATTCTAGTCGCTTCAACTCAGCTTCGAGTTCTTTGACACGCCGGTCATAGGTTTCATTCTGAGATTCTAGTTCTTCGATTTGGAATTGAGCTTCTGCGAGTTCCTGCTTGTCTGCCTTTAAACGTTCTCCAAGACTTGACTTGATCGTGTTTACGCGACCCAAGAGATGCTGATACTGTGTCTCAGCTATCTGTTTAGCTGCTTCATTTTCCTTAAGCTCGGTTTTTATTGCTTCAATTTCTTGACTATGGCGGCCTTCGATTGAAGAGATTTCCTCTGCTAGCTTAGTTTTTATTGCTGAAACCTCTGTATTGTGCTGTAGCTTCAGGTCGCTCATCTCAGAGTTATGCTTATCTTGAATAACTTCTAAAGACTTCCGTAATTGTTCAACTTCAGCTAATAAGGCTTCCCGTTCTTGTGACATAGCTTCTAGACGGATATTTGTATCGGAATCTTCAAGTGATGAGTTGATTGCTGTGCCAGTTTTTGGAGATAGATCTGGAGTCTCGGTCTCATCATTATCGTTTATTGAATCCCTTTTTTTTCGTATTGAACATTCTATCGGTTCATGATTATGGGGCTCTTTGTCCTGTTATAAAGGTCAACAATAGAAGGGGTTATTTTAGTAAAGATCTGTGTAGGAATTCTGGCTGACATTTTGGTCTAATTCTTCTCTCTTTGTTTCTTGATTGTTTTGACATGCCCCCTGTTCATCTACTTGTGTGTCTGCCAGTGTTGAAAGGTTTACTTGACCTGCGGTGCTTGTGACTTTTTTCTTCTTTCCTTTCTTCCTAGATACAGCTTCAACCATGTTAGTATTTGCAGGAGATCTCCGACCGACAGAGTAGAAGGTTTATTGGACAATGTAGCAGACCTTTTTGGGCTACGTCTGGTGACGATTTGAGATTAACGCTTGACATTATGATTTTTTACATAAATTTGAAACATCAACTGCCAGTAAATTGTACATGCAAATGTGTTCGGAATTCAACCCATGTAAAACGTGATAATTTTGGACCAATGATGGCTGACGCATTTAATTACTAATCACAATTCATCCTTCTTGCAGCAGTGGTTAGCTTAGGGCTTGCAATAGGATTGGAATTGCATCAGCAGAATTTGGTACCATGTTATTGTCAAAATAGAACAATGATCATAAGAGGATGTGTGTATCACCATTCTACCTTTGTGCGGGGAGTACCTATGCTTCGGGTATTGTAATTCCTCTTGTGACAAACACACGACTTCTTTCCAGCCGTGTTAAACCCATAGTCCTTAATTTGAGTGCGCACTTAGAGAAGCCGTTGTCCCATCACAATCTTCTCTCCCTACCCAATGAAACGATGGCCGATTGAAACAAGCTTTGGTAATCTTTGATAATCATCGTTTTTCTAGTTCTTTTAATACGTATCATATGTCAGTCCTTTTTGATTACAGGCCACGGACATATATGCCTCAAACTTTGTATCTCCTACACTACCCACCTCCGCCTCCCATGAGGCAGTGAGATTTCTTAACTGTGCAGTGTGCTCGACTAAATAAGTTTCTGTCGTGCACTAGCAAACTTGAAACCCTAGTTAATACTATCCCATATTTCTTCCCCCAATAATAAGGTAATTGTGATTGATCAGGGCCTAAAGTAGCTCTGCAATACAGATGAGAAGTGAGCATATCGGCCTTAACTCTTATTTTATGGAAGAAAGGTCCCTGGAATGGCAAATCCAAAGTGCCAGTGTGGATATCCGTCACAAAACATGAAGCATATGGTCATTGCTCGTCCTCAATGGGCTAAGGGAAGAGGAGAGGTTCTGCAACGGGCAAAAGATAGGTACTTCGAAGCTATGATGAACAGCCCGGATAACATGAAGAGAATTACAGATTGGATACTTAACAACGGCTGGCTTAAACAGTTCCGGCTTGCAGGAGAAGTTGAGACAGCAGTCAGGGAAAGGATTGAGCGATCGGGAAAAGGATAGGACGCTATTCACACTGGACGTACTGTGTAAACGCACTTCCTGTAGGAAAACTCGGAAAACCAATAGATACGAGACAGACAGTTTTGGGGGGGTGTTGCCGAGTTGGTTTCTCAATTAAATTTTATAGCTACATATACCTGCATGGGCCCATAGGGTACCTGATCGGGCTAAATGTAATCAAATTTCAAAGGTGATTGTGACCTACTTTCTTAAGTTAAATTCCATTTATCGTATCCACAACATGTTCAGCTAAGCGTACACAGATAACAAGCACGCACCAACCATCAGAGATTCTGTTTCTCATTACAGCTTCTTATAAATGCAAACTCGATATTACCCAACTCATTGAACATACCTTTCATAAACTTTATTTTAAAATTATATTTCAGAAAATTTTAGTCAGTATGTGATTCCGAAAGACAATTGCTCTTTAAACAAGGCAATGGAGCCGTATAGCTAAGGACTATTCCTAAAAGCAAATATGGCACCTCCAGTCGTGAGTTACATCTTCGAAATTTACTTCTCGTTCAACTCATGAGGTTGATCTTAATGCCAGACACCGTCACCACATCGATTTCTTCTTGCAAAAACGAACACGACCTCTACCCAACAGACTCCCTCTCCGTCACCCTCTCAGTTTAACTCAGCACCACGGTTTAATGTGCCGTCAATATCCGCTCGACCTGTACTGCAAGATTGTCCGCAAACCATCCCGCCACCATTGCGCCACTCCATCTTTGCTGGGAGTATCGCAAAAGATTATGATTCTATCGAATTAGATGCTAAAAACAGGTCTCAACAGAGTTACTCAAAGGCAAGATTTACTAGATTATTCTCGCGCCAAGATGAAGAAAAAATAAATGAGTCCTCGCCTAAAAGAAAGAAATTATTACTTCCTTCAGAGTTGGAAGGTAAAGAGAACGAAAGTGTAGTAGATGAAATTCAAGACATATCAAATCATCTTGTCAGTAACGTTAATTCATCGCTACCACTTCATCCATTCACGCCAAAATCTCAAGCTATGGCACGTATCTCTCGATTCAAGAATACCCCTACGTTTAATTCTGTAACCTCTTCCGAAACTCAAGACGCTGGCTCAAGCTTTATAAAACCACCTATATTCCGACCATCTGAGTCTGTACCAGAACACTACTGCTCAACAATTGACCCCCAGCTAATCCAGTTCTCTCCGCACAGGCGTGGACATAAATATATATCTGGAGGCCTTGCAGCTACACTCCAGGGCTGGCTTCTAAATATTGAAAATCACAAACCAAGCCAGCCCGGTGGAATCTCACCGATGCTTATGAATGTAATCGTCGATGATTTTATCTATGGTGGGATAACTGGAATGATCTTGATCAGTGGGAATACTTCGCTAAGGGAGGGAGAAGTATCAAAGGAGGTTCCAAGCAAGGTTAAGCTTTTGTTGGCTGGAAAAGGCACAGGAACTGAATCTCAAAGTTATAGACAAATTGTAAAGGGATCTACCATTGGCATAAGAGCACCAACCTGGCAAATGAATATCAAGGAAGAGAAATGGAACATTGCAGTTGAATGGGTAATTGTTCTTTGAGTCGTCTATCATGTGGCTTCTCGACCACTGATGTACATTATTCAAGATAGGATGGTGGTACCCAATCTTTTGTATAGATGCCTATTTTGGGACGATGTCAGATCATTTCGAAAAAAATCTAGTCGGATTGCTAGATCTATCGGATGTTTATACAGAGAATAATCAGAAGTAGTCACTAGGACATGTTCATCACCTGTATAAAAGAAATGGGACATGATTCTACTTCATGACTCATCTAAACCTATCGAATTAGTCGAGGACATAATACGCTGGTATTGCTCAAAGCTTTCCGACAAGAAGATCTGTATATATGAAGCTTGGAAGCCCAACAAGGAGGGAGGTGTTGTTTTCCAGGCGAGCTAGAGAATGGATCTACAAGAATGCACAGAAATTCGCTAGAAGGATAAAACCAAATGCTGGCAGTAATTGATAGCAAAGCTATTAGTGTTGCAAAGGTCATTCAACTTCCGAGAAGAATGATAACGAAAAAAAGAACACAAGAAATGCGTCTTAGTGGACACAGAAATACGGAGAGCAATAAAGCTTCATGAGAATTGATAGTCTGGATAGAAAATAATGAGTGCAGAAAACTCTAATTTCACATATTTTAGCCTCGTTAAGGCCCAAATTAGTCTTACAATCCGAATTTGTAGAGATACGATTACGCCCTTGAGGCTCCACGCATGCAATCACCGAGGCAGTTTTCCCTCTGGTGAACCAGTAATGGGGATCCCACAATTAAATTGAGGAAGCCCTCGATAAGAATGAAAAAGAAAAGTTGTATTTAAAAAATATATGTCCTACAAAATTGTAAACTCAAACTATACATAAATGGATGAAAAAACCGAGGCAGTGTAGGTCTTCAAGCACGAAGCACCTACACGTGACGCGAATGCCAATCCAGTCTTGGCATTACTCAGCGAACACCCGTGTCCCATGTCTATAGAGCTCGTAGTTAATCCTTCACTACTTCCATTAACAAGCTATCTTACCTTCCCAAGGCAGCCTCTCTACCATCCTCCCACTAAGTAATTAATGCTATCGACCTCCATTTGTATTCGTACGAAGTAAAATGAACGAGTAGGGATACAGGGTTTAAGTAAAGGGTTTCCCCTACCCAAATATGAAGGTAATAAATAGATTATTTTTGCCAGAAATCTGCGCATCCTTCCACGCTGCGGTATTTATCAAATTGACAACCTGAATCTTATTTTTTCATCTTCTTTAACTTCCACCCTTCTATTCGCCTGCTGTACTTCAACATGGTGGGTGTGGGTAAATTCAGCGGTTTTGACGCGTCGCAAAAAGCGACAATAACCACCACAAACGAAGGAAGCGGAGCGCAGATAGCTCCAAAGGGTAAGAACCTTAAAACCGTAGGTAAACTACTGAAAAAGGTCAGACTAATCGTGATGGGCGAGATGGATAAGTAAGACTTATCATCCATGGAGGATGTCAACGAAGCCGTGAATGCTTTAAATTGTCACAAGAAAGACTGGACAGCAGGTCCCACATCCCGTCTCCAAACGAGGAGAGCATGATGGCACTCGAGGAGGCCGTAGAGAAGAGCCTCGCGAATCCTGTTCGTAATGCTGCTCCAGGAATAGCATCGAGGAAGCTGCAACTAATGTCCTACGCGTCGGTCTTACCTCTACAAATGACCAAAACAGCGGTGCGTATTAGAATCGATGGAGCAGACAACTTACAGCCTCAAGAGCTGCTATCAAAGGCAAAAGAATATATCAAAGGCGCACATGTAATTCGACAGATGCGAAGCAATGACACCGAGGTGTTCGTACAGTCAGCCTTCCAGAGAGATGCGGCACTAAATATGCGACAACCCAACGAATTCAAAATTTTACGACAAGATCTTGCCGTCGAGTTATCCGGCATTCCTTTGCGCACTCGAATTGAAGGTGGAGATGCCGAAAACAACGCCATAATCAGTGAGATTGAGACGGCCTCTGAGGCTCGGATTCCCTGCCTCAAAATTGATAGAATACAATGGTTACATGACGGAAAGAAACACTAGCGGTCAAAGAAAAACCCCCGCAATCGAGGATCAGTTGCGTTCAGCCTCCCATCGGAGGCAATGCAAACAGAAGTGGTTCGACAAGGCCTCGTTATCGATGCTATGCTATTCATTGCGCAAGTGTGGTCACTACGGGACCAACCAAAGCAGTACTTCAACTACAGCCACTGGGGACACGCAGGCGTCGTGTGGAAAGACAGCCAGATGCGTTAATTGCGCTGGCGCTCACCAAACCAGGGACTGTCCCAGAAAAAGCGTTTCGTGCGCGAACTGTGGCAAGGAACATCTTTCATAGTAGAAAGCAACGGGTCGGACCTACCAGCTTTACAAGGAAAGTGCGGAGAAGGCTAGATTGGAGCTTCTATCGAGAACGGCGGAAATCTGGAATGAGAACCCCACAATGGTGCCAAAGCCAACAGTCGGAACGACTGATGATGGGAAATTCACTTTGGTTACCATTAAGAAAACTGAAGGACTCAGAAGAGGGCCGGGACGACCACGCAAGGTAGTCGAAGCCCCAGTGGCACCAAAGATCCCCGTCACAATATCACCACCATCGGGGCCAACTTTTCGATTACTTCGACGATCAACGCCGAGTGAGGAGGTGCTTTCTCTTTTCAATTTCTCTTAACGTTGATCTAATCGAATGGGGAGTTAATGAATTTTACGGAAAGTTTATGAATTTATGAATTTATGGTTGAAAGGAACGTCCTCAGCATTAAGCCTGGTCGGTTCAGAGTTGCAGGACATTGGGTTTTGTTTTGTTGAAAGCCTTTTCCCTTACCAAAGTAGCTTACTGTCTTCAAGGATCTGTAGATAGATAACGCATAGGACGTTAAACTAGAGAAATTCATTTCAATAAACCATATATAAAAACAAGTGAATTTTGGTAGCATTTAGTCTGGCTTTAGCAGTCCTTAATAGTCATAGACTCAGTACGGACTCAATTTTATTTAATTTTTTTCTAATCTATTCCATTTCGTCTGGGTAGGCGCCGACACACCTGGTAGTTTTTTTTTTTAAATTTTTTTTTTTATTACATTTGGTCCTACGCTAACGCTATCTTTTCCACATTGGGTCAAGGACCGGTGGAGCCGGCAAGGATCACTGCGTACAGGCCCAACTCATTCCAACCGCATGAACTTCTACTGAAATTGTAGAAGTTAACAGCAAAACTAAAATCAAAAACATAAATCAAAAACTGAAATCAAATTTGGAAGAAATACTGTTTGGTCCGGATCCCGCGCTTCTCGCCCGTTCCCTTTCCTGCCACATCTTCCACGTGACTTTTTCTTATCTCCGCTGAGAGCGAAAGACTAGTTCGCAGATACCCTGAATTCAGCTGATATCCTGCCATATATTTTGAAGCTATCTGTAGACTTCAACGAGGGTTGCTGTACCCTCAAACTTCTTCTTCGGATTCCAGGATTCCGAAACCCGATCCCTCGGCCATCGAGACATCCTTCGTTGAGGCCATCGTTGCCTCTTCGGCCCTTTTGGCTGCAGCCCTAAATCGAGCCACTTTCGCGAACTCCCCTTGCTGGATCTGGCGGATCCGCGCGAGCTGCTCTTTTGTCACCGGTCCGGACTTGCTGGGTCTGGCTAAGCAGGCCCGGGAATCCGATCGGTGAGGTCCCCCACAGTTTCGACACCGGGTGAGGGCCTTGCACTCTGATTCTGAGTGCATATTAGATCCGCAATTCCAGCAAGCTGGAGCGCGGGAACAACCACGGGTGGCGTGAAATTCAAGACACCGTTTGCATTGTTCGATTTTGCGACGAGGTCGGAAGAGCTTTGCAGCTCCAGAGTCGTCGAAAAGGCGGAATCCAGGTCGAGGAGCGGATTCTCGGGGAAATAGCGCTTGCCAATTTGAGTAGGGCGCCCCTGGTTTGCTAGTCCCATGAGGACGAACCAGAAAGGGAACCAACTGGGTCACTCGCGTGACTTCGTCGGCAACCATCTTTGCCGTCACGGCGATTGGGCCAGCAAGAGTTCGAATTGTCTCCGGGACGGTGGCAATTTGCATGGCAACCAGATTTGATGCTGGTTCCAGTTTGATTCCAGATTCGCTCCGTGATGTGGAGGAATCTAGGAGCTCTGTTCGAGCGAGTTCATCCTTTGCGGTTATTGCAAAGCCGGTCTTTACCCGCTGAACCAACGTGATATTGTTGGCAGCGGTTCCCAGCGCCTGAGACACCGCTAGCCTTACTCCAGCTGGAGAGAGGAGACGGTGGGGGTGGAAGTAGTCAAGGCGCAGAAAAAGTCGTGAATCGGCTTTTGACCTCGAGTTGGCACTCTTTGCCTTGGGGGCCGGTGGTGCTGCCTTTTTTGTCAATGGCCCAGCGCTGCGGGCTAGGCCTACCCGAGCTACGGTGGCCCAAGTTGTCTTTGGGGCCGTAGCCTGGGTTGTTAGAGGGTTAGGAACCCTTATTTCTGGTGCCCTCGGCGGAAGAGGGTTGGCGGGGCGAGTAGGGAGAACTGGTGGTGTGCTCCCTGGGCCAGATTGTACGAACTGGCCGATGGCTGCTCGAAGATAGACTTTTATACCGTCTACAAATTCTTTATTTTCGCCGATCGAAAGAGGCGAAAGTGCTGCTTCAACACTGTTTATTGCAGTCGAGCAGATGGCGAGGCGGGCCGTAATTTGCGTCGTACGTCGCTTTTCGGCCTCCATCACGGTTTGCAGCTCCGGTGGAAATTCCATTGCTGATGTAGATGCTACGCCTTTAGAGGCTGGCACAGCATTGTTTCCTGCAGATGATTCTGCACGTTCGGTTGTCTTTTCTCGAACAACTTCCTTTCATTTCCTGGAGCTGCTTGCCAAAGGGGGCAGTTCGACGGGGGTTTTGGTCTTGGGACCATTGTTTTCTGCTCTGATCGGTTCAGAATCAGTCATCTCTTGATCGGGAAGATTTGTGGACTTCCCTGGGACAAAGGCCTCACTCGCAAATAGGCTTGATAATTTTTGCGCGAGGCCAGTAGGTTTTGGACACAATGGTGTCCGTTCAAAGCCGGCTGAAGTTGTCAGCTTTGGGCGATTTTTTCTCACCGGAGGCATTTTAAATACCTCGCGACGGTTAACGATTCGAGAAGTCAAGCACAGAAGTGGTCATAGGAATGGAAAAAGTGAAATAGGGAATTTTCGAATTTCTCGAATGGTGCGTTTGTTTGTTCATTTGTTTTTTTTTTTTAAACGTCATGCTAGGTCAGGGTTTGTGCGCGGGCACTACGTTAATTAGAATAGAATAGAATAGAAATAAAATTTAGTCCATACTGAGTCTATGTCTATGTAGGACTGCTAAAACCAGACAAAATGCTACCAAAATTCACTTGTTTTTATATATGGTTTATTTTCAAATTTTCCCAATAGACACTGATGGTCTAGCACTTTGTTGTTAATTAATATAGATATACATTTGATGAATGACCATTTTACTCAATCTTTGTACTAGCACATGACCTAGAGCCGGTGATAACTCGAGAAGAGGGCTATCCTTGGGTTTGTTGTTGTATGTTTTATCATTAACGTGCTAGGTGAAGTAACTACTGTTGCACTCCTACTGGAGCTTGAGCACGAGTGGGGTCGGGCCGGATCAGGTTAACTACCGTACAGTACAGATGCCTCGTCCCACCTAAATGACCGGAACCATACCAAAATGCATCTACGTGTTGAATCATGACGAATTCAGCAGCCCAGAATTGAAAATAAAACAAAATCTTTCACGCGAAATCCCGGATTAAAATAGAAAAACTTAAACAATCTCCCTTCCATCGTTCCGCCTCAGCCACCACGCGCCTGAGCCTCGATTCCTATCCCTCTTTCCATGCCAAACCACCTAGGCTTCCGTTCTATCAACTCCGAGTCACAGGTATCCCTGCCATCCCCCGACTAGCCTCCGAGTAAATCCCGCTCTCCTGGACGTAATCCCTGAACAGCAGCCATCCATTTGATCCGAGCATCGTTTCCAGAGCTGGTGCCCTACACTTTCCGCTTTTCAGCCGCCATTTTGCCAGTGCTTTTCGACACTGGACAAGATGACCAACTGATTTTTCCCTCCCAAACTCGCAGTTAAGTGTAGCGTCAGTGTGGTTGAAGCGGCGATGATATGCCGCAAAGTCCCCATGTCCAGTTCGGGCAGCGATCAAGCGTGCGAAGGCCGCTCTAGGCTATCCATGGGTGTATGGCCACCGGTAAAAGGTCGCGAAATTTAAAGAGTCAAGGGCTCTCCAATGGCCAACATTAGTACGGAGATAGCAACCCGTCTAAAGATTTAGGAAAGACTAATCTACTTCAGACTGCAGACTGCAGAATCAAGTGCACTCGATGTACCACTCTTTGCTTCCAGCCCCTTGCCTTAATAGAGCCTCGAGACAAGAATGAGGTCGTTTTTAAATGTCAGGAATTCTTAACAAAGTATATCTGCTTCAAACCAGCCCAACTTCTCTCTTGTGTCTCAAGGTGGCGGAGAATGCCGTTGCATGGTCAAAGCTAAGGGCTATGCAGGCCTTTGTCGGACACAACTTAGGCTATGCTGGTTCAATGGTGAGAGCTGGGGATTCGCCAGTTAGACAAACCAGCTGGTCAGGGTTAACATGAAAGATGAAATTCTATAGAAATAGCTTTGCCATTTGCTCTAATAAATTGCATTTATTTAGCAAACTTTGTCCTTACTTTGTTGATGAATCTGACGTTTAGCCTCGCCACTGCCATATTTTAACTCGCGTGGTCCTTTTATTGGGCCATAACTTTCTGACATTTTGCATTTCTCACGAGCCTCCAGTTAGCGTGGCTAAGTAACGCTCAATCTATTGATTCAATGTAATGTTTAAAAGTACTATGTCATAAAATAGTAGCCTGAAAATGTCTTAAGAAAGATACGTGGGACACGGTATTACGTTGTAAATGTTGACTAGATAGCCCTGATGCTGCAGATGAAGTATATTGTTGGGATATTGAGAAAGTATAGTCACGGGAGTAAGATAATGCAGATAGTAATATACGATATGTGAGGAATTGTATAGATGTAGGACTAAGGGTGTGTAGTGATAAAGGTGTTATGTACTAATGATGTGGACACCTTTCACTTGACCAACTAGCTGACTAAGCAGCATTTCCTGACATATATGTACTGATAGTCAGGTCATGTGACCTGACTAACTTAGTTTACATGAGTAGGTGAAATAGTTCCCCTTGAAAAAATGGTCAACCAAATAAAGAATGATATGATCTGCCATGCAAAGACCAGAGGGCGACATGATGTAACTCAAACGATTAGGATAATGTTGATGGATGTGATTAGCGCATAGTAGTCAGGGGCAACACGAATGTGTTCGTGAGTGTTGGAAATATCCCGCAATGAAATGGGCGCAATATTTATGGAACGAAAGTAGAAGCTGACTCAAAGAGTGTCATGTTCTGATTAATGCCGAAAGTGTGGGAGATGTGCGCTACAAGTACAAGTGTAAACGACACAGAGCCTAAGCCACAGCATAAACGAGTGTGGCGCCATCTAGGCATAGAAAACCCCCAACAACCTCCTTGCGCCCACGCCATACAGCCACTCATATATCCAATAGGTAGCCTTAAGCGCTACCATATCACTTATTCCAACCTCTTAAATACACACGAGATCTTGTCGAGAACCTAGACGAAATGGAGAGCCCGTACGTCCGCAACACTCCGTGTCTCCATTTCCAACAGTGAGGGTCATCACATAAGGGACAAGTAAAGTGCGCTATATTTGTACACATGTCCTATGCTAGCAGGGCACGCAATCGCAACACCTGTCAGTGATGCCCCCTTCTAACCTCCAACTCATACTGTAGAGTATGCAGTGCCATGGTCGAGTAACACCTTCACCATTACTTCGATGAGACTTCCCAATCGATTTCACGATGTATATCGTCTTTATCCCTCATCACGTCTCCCTAGCAGCAATACCGTAAAAATAATCACAATTAGATTAGATTTTGGCGTTGAAGCCCTGGGAGAAGTTTCCGGTGCGACGGTAGCCAGTTGGAACAAAATGGCCTCCCGTGATATAATGAAGGACATGTAGATAGATACAAACGCTTGGAGGGGCTGAGACTACAGGCTCTTTGTGTAATTTCCCCGCGTACGCAGTCTCCACCGATATATTTTTTTGGGTTAGAGGGTTCTGTAGAGAGCGGCTGAATTCTACGCATAATTACTTACTCATGACGAGAGTTGCATTAGAGATCTATTCTCGGAACAAAGTAGGATAGTAATACAGGAAAAAGTGTGATCTGAGTCAGGGAAGAGCCCAATATGCTGGATAATCATTGATTCAAGTAACACAATCAACACCAAACCAACCTATCCCCGCACTGCCTTGAACACCATCCATCTCTACTGTCCATTGCAATCCAGGATAATAATTGCCGTCTTGCGCCATATTTGTACGGATCGTTAGTTAAAGGGAAACGATAACAGTTTGTGTGAAGCACTTTTCATCTTGCGCGCCAAACCCCGTTTAGGTGTTCAGCTAGGCTTAACCGCGCACCTAGCATAAAAATAGGAGATTCACTAACATCAGTTGAGTTTTCTTCCCTGCCGAATTGGAATTTGAATATTGAAGATTCTTAGTCGTTGATAGTCTCATGTAAGGATTTAAGTTCAGCCACAATGCGTCGTGCTTGAAATGATGGTGCCGAGTGACGTATGTCATAAGCGTCGTGTCGACTAGTAATATTGCATATCAATCAGACTGGGGACTACACCCTTGATAACGCATTTGGTGAGCCCAGAGATGACAGGAGAGTGCATTTTCTCTAGGGTGATTGTTATCCCCTATGAGATATTTTGCACAGTGAAAAAATATAACTCTCTTTCTCTAGCGTTACAGCAGTTTGTACGTTGATTCTGTTTACTGGTCACTTTTTTTTATTGTTTTGCATTATATTATGATAACCTGCCTAGCGCCATTTTAGTCGTCTGAATTGCCGAAAGAGTAAAATGTAGAAAGGATGACTTCTCATATTTGGAATGTTGTATGACTCAACCTTGATCTGTAGACTCTCTATGGCGACTAGGGGCTCATAGGAGATAGCGCTGAGAAGGTTTGCACATCAACCCTCAATACGAATGTTTATATTTGGGGTAGAAAGAAGGAAGAAGATGAAACCACCAGGATCAGAGGCTGAGCCTGTAGCTTCGTATTGGTAACTCAGCCGAGGAAAGGAGAGATATATCCTCGCGAACAATAAACTCATGTCGAAGCTCGTCATATTGACGGTTTAGGTTACCTGACTAGTGCAAAAGTCTGAAGTATCTAAAACTGGGCCCATTTGCATCGCAATTTATTCCAACATCAGACAAGGATAGTCTCAACATTCTGATCCAAAACCGGTATGAACATACTACATTACATTGTGAATCCGTCTACTTTTTCTTGTCGCAAAGGCGCAGCAAATTCCAATTTTACACAGAACCTAGTGTTTCTTGCCTCCCTGTCAGGATAAATCAGGAAAAAACGGTACAAGGGTGATAATATGTGGAGAGCGTATTATGGTATGCAATATAGTGAGATGATACAACAATACAGAAATCCTGTGTTCCTAAAGTAGCAACTTTGCGCAGATACCTCACTTCATCAACCAGTTGGTCTTGAAGCATTTCCCAGCATTTCCACAAACAAACCATGTTCAACCTAACATTAATACTCGCCTTACTGCTCGTCTCAATTAGCCCTGCATCTGCTAAGTCACTTCAGAAAAGAATGCTTATCTACAACTGTGATGGTGTGCATTTTGACCGAGCCCAAATCATGCAAGCCGATCCAGTGCACTGTGTGTCTCCCATAGATGATCCCGGGCATGGGGCCTACCGAAAACAGTCTAAGCAAGTCAAAGATTATAGCAATCTTCGGGCACGAAAAGAGACCATAATCTGTCCATTATACAGATCTACAAGAATTGATTACGGTGACTACATCGATAGAAAAGTAAGTAAACAATTGGGTCTTCCTTATTGTAGGTCTGACGGATCAATGCACCACTGTAGTACTCCGTTACCTTCTCATGGACACCGGGCACTCATAATTGTAAAATCATTGACGTCAACTTTATCGACGAGTACAATCAGCGTATAAAGTGTGATATCAGGAACGAGGCTGCTTCCTTTCGCATGCCTGAACCCAGAATATCATCTACTCACTTCCGTGCTGAAACAGACTTTTCGGGCGCACCTCCAGCTCGGGGCTTTGGCCTCATTGAAGATTGATTTTGACTATTGTTGGTAGACTTGAACTTGCAAGAAGACTCAGTCCATTAGCAAAAGTACGATGTCTATGCAAATATGATGGAATGTTCACAAAATTTTGGAGTGTATGGTGTTTTCACTTAATTGTGAATGTGTAAATTCGATTGTGACACATGGTAGACTATACGAATAACAAAGTCTGAAAATCTATCCGCGGTGTGCTGAACAAATCTGAGAGTGAAATATTTGAAAGATGCTATTGTCTCCCAATTTCCACGATGCTGAAGGACTGGGCTTAGCAGATAATTATTTCAGGGTCTCAAGATCAAAACCGACCAAAGATTTATTTCGTCAGCGAGTACGAATTGGTATATTCTGAAATTTGTAACATACTTCTTGCCGACTCGGTCTCTAGATTTATTTGGCATCCATTACACTCACGTGATCAAATAAATTCAGTATAAAGAATTGAACAGACCACGTGCTATCATATCACATAAAACTTTTGTATTTGAATTTGCTTATTAATTTGCTAGGTAAAATAACAGCCATCGCACCACCTACCGAAGAAATCTCATACCTCTAAAAGCCAAATCGCCATCAAAGAAGCAAGAGGAAGTCCGACCCTCCGCAACTGCCAGTCGCTGTGAAGGTACGGTCGAAATACCGGCCTTAGATGCGTCCTCACCTCGGCCTGCGACTAGTCATCTCCGACGAAATACGTACGACGTTTCGCCGGCACACCAACTAGAGCGTTGGTCAAAGGCTAGGGCATCGGTGCCTCGGTCTTGAGCTCTGAGTCGCGTTTTCGACCTCCACGGTTAGAGGTACGGCAGTGATGGGGCAAGGCCGGAGGGGTGGACATTCTACAGAGTTTCTGGAATTCCGAGATCGGCTGAAGGATAGAGGGATGCTGTATGAAGGAACTAAAAGGGAATACAAACTGAGGAGGCCTTGGTGGGCGACTGGATGAGGTCTCCAATGAAGAAAACGACCCCTGGATGAGATGAGGAGATGCAGTGAAGAGCCAAAGCTGGGAATGAACGGAAGGGAAAAGGTACAGATCGCGAAGATGTCAAGGGTTCGGGCGTGTGGTGGCCGAGGCTGAGGAGGAATTTGTGCTTCAGCGCACCAAAAGGGGCTTCTGTGGACGGTTGGGCTTGACACAATTCAACACATGAGTGAAGTCTGAGGTGATCCGGTCACTCAGGTCGGACAAGGTAGATGTACTTAATGGTAGTTAACCTGATCCAGCCCGGCCCCACCTGTGCTTAAGCTCCAGTAGGAGTGCAACGGTAGCCACTTTACCTAGCATGTTAATGAACAAACCAAACCAAACCTACTGGGTCTGGGCCGGATCAGGTTAACCACCGTGAAGGAAAAATCTACCACGTCCCATCTAAATGGCCAGAACCAAACCGAAACGCATTTATGCCTCGAATCATAACGAGACCAGCGGCCCTGACTCTAAACAAAAGAAAACTTCCACGCGAAATCCCGCATTAAAAAAGTAACATAATCATCTCCCTTTTAATCTTCTGTCTTGGCTACCACACGCCCGAGCCTCTATTACGATTCCTCTTTCCATACAAACCCATCTAGGCTATCGATTGATGATCTCCTGGTCGCAGGTATCCCCAACATTCATCAAATAGCCACCGCGTATATTCCGCTCTCCTGGATGTACTCCCTGAATAGCCACCAGGTCGCCTGTGATTTTCTACACTGTACAAAGTGACTGACGTTCTTTCTCTGCCACACTAACAGTGGTGCGTGACTATTGGATGATTGAAGCGACGGTGGTACGGCGCGAAGTCACCGTGTACAGTTTGAGCGGCCGTCAGGCGAGCGCTAGTTCTGGCGGCTTCTTGTAATGACACTCTTGTATTTATTTCTAGATACTAATATTAATGAAACCTCAGCTTTGTGGGGTCACAGAAGGTCTAACTGCAGGCCCCTTCAACCGACTATCATTCTGTGGCCGCAAGGTCTCCATTTGCCTTGACAACCAGTAGGCTGCCCTCTGTCGACTGTCCTCTATTGGAGGGTGGTGATGTATATGGTTGTATACACTTGGTATCTTCAATTAAATGGTTAAGACTACTCAGGGGGCTTAGAATATACTTGGGTGATTATGGCAATAAAATATTACGAGATGCAAATGGTATCTTATTGTGTTATTATGTTATGTTATGTTACAGGTTATGTTTATGATAATTAACCAATCCCACATACTTCCAGATAGCGCCGTAGCTAGTTTCTTTTAGGAGTGATCTACGGGTGAGTGTAGCGATCGGTGGTATCTAATTTATCACTAACCTGTTTCCATTTCCCTGGCTCTGCGTGCTATACTACGTGGATGACGATTTACTACTAATGTGAAAAGCGCATTCATGACATCCTCTACGCCGAAAATTCCACCTCTGCTAGAATCTCTGTCTCTCAAAAGCTCGCAGTGAGCTGGAAAAGAAATTCACGCGACCATAATATCATGCTAGGCAAGTGGCTATGCGACGGTGCCATGGCCATGTAGGTATTTTTGGAAACGAAAAGCCACCGAGGCTGCCTATGTAGCTCCAGCTTTACACTCAACAATCTCTGTTGCGAGGGCAAGGGGGGAAGTCAAGGCCTAATACGAGGCTTTCGTTGCAGTCTATCGGGCAGAAAAGTTACTGTCTAGGTATAAAGAATTAGGAAATAGTCCTAATACTAGGATCACCATCGAGATCTCCCGTCTAGGGCAACGCACACTAAGATATCAATTAGCTGTACGGTCTGGAAATGGCGATTTCACAGACTGTTATGGACAGTTTCAGCACGAAGACACAATACCAACTTACTCATGCAGAGAAGTCTCTAGACCACTTTTTCTTTTGCCACCTCGGGCAGTTTCGGGTACAGCTCAATAGGGTACCGAACTCTAGTCCCAGTATATCTTGGGCTCTTGCTTCAGTGGAGGGAGTTCGTGCATTTGATAGCTAGGTGTGAGTCACAAATTTCTTCGAAAGGGCACAACGAGAAGTTTTGTTGGAGCGAAATCATGAAATGATGTAGCTAATTTCCTCAGATAATTTTTTCTACCATCAATATTATCTATAAATTATGAGAGTCGTCGAGAGGACGACGTCCATGTTTACTGTAATCTTCGAGCGCAGGATGAGAAGATCCTGGATTCTTTTTACTTTGTTGGGTCTGTGTAGGCGCAAATGTATGTACGTATGTATGAATTTCGTATCAGGTAAAAGCCCTACACCCAAGAGGCATGATACGGGTGTGTGATCCCTAAAGACTCACTACTACCTATCTGTCCAGCTTTCTAGGCCGATTGATTACATGGAAAGTGTGACAGGCTGCGCCTATCCCCTAGTGACTGTCGCACGGACACTTATCATTAATACGTCATTAGCCTTGCTATCTAAAGAGATGTCCAACTTGGCCATACAAATACAGGGTTGCAACAAATATGGAAACAAGATATTGTTGCAGCAAGTCTCATATGGAATCATGGGCCGATACGACCCAGATTCGCTATGACGAGCCCACTCGGAATATCAAGGATATGGTGTAGTAGAATAGATAGTGAGGTTAGCGCATTGGGAGTTGGGACACCTTAAGTAGCCTCCCCTCGGTGGACAGTTCCGAAATGTATGTAGAAAATAGACAGTAATCGGCCACCATTCCTCAACTATATCGTTTTGTTGATCGCCCATCACAGAAAGAAGAAAAAAAGAAAATTGCCTAGACAAAAAACGCCCTGCGCCTTGCCCACTTTCATATTCAACTGCTAAAGATATTCCAGTTCCTCGGAAAGGTTTAGCCCTCTTAGTGTGAAAATTTATCCACGTAGAATCTCGTTGCGGTTACGTACTTATAGATTTCCTCCCACCCGTTTTCTGTAAACATGACTCGACTTCTTGATGGTGATTGATGTCTGGATATTCTCCATTGTCGCAAAGCAGTTCGGCACCCTGCAAAGTGCTAAGGACATCTTTCCCTTCCACTGACGCATCTACAGTCTATATTTTCATGTCCGAATCTGTCATGGTAACTGTCGGAATACTTAGGTGGTAATTTATATCACAAGCTTGATGTAGCAGTAATAATTATTGTACGTATAAAAAAATGATCTCCCCCTCCTGTCTTCCTAGAAGGAACCCTCTATAAACCGTAAAACCCCCTGTCTCCTAACGCCATTCCCAAGCGGGTACCTCATTACTCATCAACATAATTAGTCATTAGTTCAAAGGAAATACATATTGATCATTGGATCGTTAAGTCATTAAACAGTAACTCTTGAAATCTCCGTGTCCTGTCCTCGCTGCTATCAGACGATGGTATGCCCATCTCGGCAGTCCAAGCTCGGGTGGTCGTTTTTGTCTCATTAGAAGGTCTAATTCTTCGTACCGTCTTGGTCTATTAAGAAGCCACCAGGATTCCACAGCTTCCTCGGCCGTTGTAGGCGCAAACACGTCGCGTACTTTAATTTAGACTGAGCTAACCAATTCGTGAGGAGCGTCAGAGCCCATCTACCCGTAGCACGTCTAAATAGATGTTAGGTCCCTCCAGTCAAGTAAAAGATTTCAAAATTCAAAATTCAAATACGTGAGGAGCTCACGCGGTGTGCGCGGGCACAACGTCGATTAGCATAAATAAAGTTTAATTGAGCTTCTTTCGCAAAGGAACTGATCATAAAATGCCGGAAATTCCATATATTCTAGGACTCTGGTGAATAGCTTCTTAATACTTGCCTTTTCAAAGCAATCCGGCGACGGCATTAGCTAGCACCCCAACCTTTTCATCCCGGACTAGCACTGGATAGGGCTCTTTTTTTTTTTTTTTTTTTTTTTTTTTTTGCATCAGATTTTAATTGCGTATGCAGCTATCTAGCTATGACACAATATCAAAGAAAAGTACAGAAAAGATGACTCAATTTACAAGAGGAGCACTCATGCCTCGGATTTCATTTGCAAGTACCACTGCGAAGTTATGGTGGCTTTTTCTTCACCCCAAGTCAACCCTCATCCGTGAATACCCACCCAGGGGAACGTCTCAAAAACCCTGAGTTATCCAGACATGCCTCCGTCATCCATCAACTTTTCTCCGCGCGAAATGTAATCTGAGATGTCTCCTTCCCAAGTGGAGTAGGTGCCCAGGCTACTCAAACCATACCAGAGAACATCACCAGGAGGCGGACCACAACACCTTCCATCGTTGGCTCGTTTTTATAGTGTGAGCTGCACTCTCGCAAGCGAAGCCTTGGCGCGCACAAAGCTCAATTCGTAAAACTCCATGTCAAAATTCGAAATTTCACGCCCGTCGAAAACGTATCCCTCTTCTGCATCATCTTGTGAACTTGTCCTGATCCCTCTCACGTCCATCCCAAAGAGCTATCTCCCAAAATTGTGCTCCACGCTTTGCTTCCTCCGTCGGGTGTAAATATCGGCGTGGGCGTGTATTTGGTGACCGGCTGAGGCCAGAGAAAGTCGACGAGAGGTGTGGTCATTGAAACGAGGATGTACTAGGTCGTACTTGTAGACTTGATGAAGCTTAGTTGAGAATCGGACTCTTTGGGAGTGAAAGATTGACATGGTGGAGTAATTTGAATTTTTGCCTCGTGGGCCAACTTCTTTGATATTGCGAAATTTGACTGAACTTGGCTCTGGGAGAATATTTCACTCCCAGGTTCGTAGAGGACACCGCGTACAGGTGTTCAGTCTTGCCCTCCACTGGATAGGGCTCACAATGATAGAACACTAGTCCAGTTGACAGATAATTTTCCACTTGTTACTTGTAAACATCTTTTTGTTTGTTTATGCTGAAAAGGAAAGGTGTCAGTGGGAGATCACTCTTGGCTTCTTTTGATAGTCCGGGGTGTGTGGCAGTGTGGACCTGGCCGATTTAGTACATTTCGGGCCGAGTTAAAAGTGCCGGCACTTTGGGTAGTTATGTAAACTGGGTTGGCCAACATGGGACCTCTGGGTTGTGTTGTGAGCTGGCACGATGTTGAATTCAAAGCAAAGCACACCATTCGGCGGCAGAGTGGAATCCTTCACTTTCCAGCGGTGCTGGTGTGATTGTTCAGTATACTCTGCATATCTAGGGAAGCCAAGAATAATGGCGACCGAATCACAGTCGGAAGCAAATGCAAGCATATCTGAGGCAGGCCAGAGTCTGAATACCTGTCCGCGATGTTCTCCTCCAAACCGACGGTTAGTTATTCTCCCAGAGCCAAGTCCAATCAAATTTCACAATGCTAAAGAGTGAGTGACTGCATATTGCACTACTTGGGTCTATGACTATCTAGGAGATTGGGCTCCTCTAATCCAGGCCACACCTTGTATAGTGCTCCTATCCTCTTTTGTTACTTGAAAGACCGCTGATATATATCCGTTCAGATCAGTTTTTACCTGTGGAATTCAGCCACTATTCCCACGAGACTCTCCAATCAAAAGTAAAAAAAAGTAGCGCTTCAAATCGCGTACATGGGAAAAGTCAACTAATTTACTCGCGGTGCCAGTGTGTATGGATGAAGAGGACTTACTTGGAAAATGAAACGTTTTGAGATTTCCCTTTAGCGGGCCTTTATGGAGGAGAACCAGCTTTTATGCGTAAACAAACATACCTTATAGTGGTATTTGCCAATGAAATTTGAGGTATGATTGCCTCTTAGGTCAAAAGAATCATCCAAAATTTACAAATAGCTGAACGCGTATCTAATGACATTGAAAAACAATCTAGTTCCTTTCTATGGAGTTATTTCAGGTGCTTTAGGTATGGACTCCACTCTCTTCTCAATCGAGAGGGGCTATTCCCAACACCTGTTAGTGGTTTCCCCCACGAACCTCTAGCTCTCACTGTAGAGTATGCAGAGTCTGTAGAGCCATGGTTGAGAGACACCTTCACCCCAACTTCTGTGAGGATTCCCAGTCACAATCGCGGTCTGTATCGTCTTCATCTCTCAACACATTCCCCTATCACCATTATCATAAAGCTAACCAGGATCAGATCAGATTTTGGGGTCGAGGCCCTGCTCATCCCCCACCCTGCTTGATGATGAAGGAGAAGCCATCGGATGAATTTCTAGAGCTCGCCCAGCACCCAATAAGGAGACGATCCATCGGATCATGTTGACGTTTAATGTTGTAGAGAAGAGAGATGTATATGAATATGCGGATCTCGAGTATCTCTGGCTGTTGGCCCTAATTTGGCTGGAGCTGGAGGCCTTTGAAGTCTTTTTTCCGCGCACGGCGTTTCCGTTGCTACCATTTTAATTTTTTTGGGTAGAAGGTTTTGTGGAAAAAGTGGCTGAATTCCGCGGATAAATACCGAGCTGAATGGCTATCCATCATGGGCAATATACCATTAACCTTTTCATGAAGGAGAAGCCATCCGATGAGTTTCCAGAGCCTACCCGGTACCCAATACGGAGATGGTGGATTGGATCATGATGGCCTCGAATGTTAAAATGAAGGGAGATATATATGAATATGCGCACCTCATGTGGTCCCGGTGTCTAGGCCTCGTCTGGCTGGGGCTGCAGGTTTTTTAAGACTTTTTCCCGCGCACGCAGTTTCAATTGCTACTATTTTTATTTTTTTTGGGTAGAAGGTTCCGTGGAAAAGGTGGCTGAATTCCACGGGTAAACACTGAGCTGAATGGCTATTCATCAAGGGCAATATATCAATGATCTTTCAAGTAACAAAAGAGTATATGAGCACTGTAAAAGGTGTGGCCTGGGTCAAAGAGGAGCCCAATGTGCTAGATAGTCATAGACTCATGTAGCACAATAAATAATACACTCCGGCCATAAATGGGATGGTGAAAAGGCTAACATATATACACATCATAGTCGCCGTGATAATATAATATAGCGCAATCCGGGTTTAGGCCAACGAAGAGTGTGCTTAGTCAGGTTTCAATAGGAAAGATTGGCGATCAGGTGTTTTGAGGAACTAGAAGCACTTGCAGCGAGTCACTGCGAACCGAAAGCTCTACACTAATATCCACGCGCCCTGCGGAAAATTTGGACGACATGGATATCCGACCGATGCGTGCGTCCGATATACCATATGTCCAACATGCAAATATCACCAATCTACCCGAGAAGTAAGTTATATGAGATTCCATGCCGGCATGGAGGTATTCTACTGCACACTGACGGCCTAAAAAGTTATTTCATTAAATACTACCTCTACCATGCACTCTCTTGGCCACAGCTTTCCTACGTGGCCGTCGACGTCTCACGTCCAGCCAAATCACAATATGACTACCCCCGCATCGTCGGTTATGTGCTGGCCAAAATGGAGGAGGAACCATTGGATGGAAAGCAGCATGGTCATATTACGAGTCTTAGTGTGATGCGCACACACCGGCGACTCGGCATTGCCGAGAAGTTGATGCGCCAATCCCGTACCGCCCCGCGCAACAATACTAGCTGCGCTGTCCTTGGGTCCTGATTCCAGCTAACCGTTTGGCATAGAACGAGCTATGGTTGAAACTTTTGCGGCCCAGTACGTGTCCCTGCATGTTCGTGTCTCCAATACCGCGGCTCTGCGGCTGTATCGCGATACGCTCGGTTTCCAGAATGAGAAAATCGAAGCAAAGTACTATGCCGACGGTGAAGATGCATACAGCATGAAGCTAGACTTGGACTTTATCCGAGATGCTCTAGTAGAGACATCCGAGGATATAGATGAAGGCCACCCTGTCGGTGAACTAGGGAGTGCCAAGGAAGAAAATGTGGCGGGGTCTGAACTAGGTGAGAAGAAGATTACAGTTCGGGTGGGAAGAGGACTAGGAGTAGGTGATCTAGTAGAAAGGGATGAAAGTCATAAGTCGTGAATTCTCAAAGGTATGAAAAATCCTTGGTCATTATTCATCATTAGCCCATGTTCGGCGTGAGATTTCATTCACAATTGTGGTCACTAGTAGACCCATTCGTAAGCCATCTAATTCTTTACTGGTAAACTGCTTCCAGAATTTACGGCAAATTAACTCTATATAAATTGCGCTACCCATGAGACACGGTATTTATATTTCAAAATAGCGAGTAAGTACTTCTCAAACTAAACTTGCCTTATCAGTCGATAATCAAATATCCCTCAAGACTCATTTTGATGAACGAATTGGGTCTTGGGCTAGGAACATTTATCTCACTGGCTAAGGAATGCACTCAAAAATGTCCACACAGTAGTCCAGCTCTATCATATCTCCTTACCAATAGCCCCAACATCTCCAAAACTTCTAGGTGAGTGGTAATGACACTTCTAATATCTAAGCCACAGATATGAAACCAGAAATTAGACAGACTCAACGTTTGTTCATGGTGCCCCTTTCGAACCCAGGAGTGAAATACTCTCTCAAAGCCAGGTTTACTTTAATTTCGCGGTATTGAAGAAGTTAGCCCACGAGGCAATGATTGAAAACTCTCCATCAAACCAACTCTCAACGAGATTGATTCCTAAGACCCATAAAGTCTACAAATACGACCCAGAAAATACTTAATTCAGTGACCACATCTCGTCAAACTATTCTCTGGCCTCGTATGACTTATATACACATTTCCACAACAGTAAAAATACTCGTTGGAGGATGGATGAAGGAAACTCAGCACCGTGACATTTTTTAAATCTATCAAAGTGTAAAGGGCTCTCGGTGGATGATCTAAATGATCCCTGACGTCTCTTAAACTATGTAATGATCAATATTGGGGAAGCGACACATCACTTCCGCCTGAAAGCCGGGAAAAAGGCCACATTCTCTAATGATCACGGATAATATGCCATATCGTCATTTAATATCCTTGTGAGAGTTTCTCATTACTCGCCAAATTCCAAAATTAAATACTCCGGCATCTAATTCTTGCAGCATATCGCAATTTTCTTCTTATTCGCTGACGAAGACGAATAATGAATCATTAGTCACAATACTTTTTTAAGTATGGCTGAACTTTACGAGGCAATGTTTAGACCATGGACTAGAGGTTGATCAAACCGACAGTCAAGGCTAAGAGGATACGAACAGAAGTGCTACTTATGGTTTGAATATTCGAGTAATTGATTGCATAATTTGAGTAGTTGTACAAAGCTTGCCACTAGCATGGGACCTTATCATCTTTTTTACTTGTCATAAATTTCTCATTAGCTCTAATAGTATATTTTTCTTGCTTGGGCGCATAACCTAGGCGTAAATTATTAATTATTCTGAGAAACAAATCACGTACCGCTATTGAATGACTGCAGGAGATGTGCAATTTTTACAAATTTATTTGGTCATTACTGTCAGATTTGAATAATATAAGGTAGCTGAGAGAAATTCCAAACGCCTATCAGCTCTCAAGACTGGGATCATCATAAGAATAGTCTGCATCTCAAACATCATCTTCTAAGAACTTGTAGGCAAACTTGAAGTCGGCTTTTCTTCGGTTCATCCTAAATTTTCAGGAAGTCAGTGGTGTAAAGAGAAGTACAAAAAAGCGATTTGTAAATCAGAGAGTTCAAGATTTAAGTATTTTTCGCTCGAATCTGTAACGAAAATAATTCCTTACCAAGTACTCTCATAATCAAAAAAACGATATGTTCCTTGCTCAAATTCTTCGGTTATCGTTTTTGGTTCCTCATGACGCTGGAACCACGTTTGGTATTGTTTATGAAACCTCCAACTCTGGTCTTTCAAAGCTTTGGCTGCAAGATACTGCTGATAAGTCTCTTGCTTGTAATAGAAGACATAAAATAGAGTGTCGGGGTCTATTCTTGCGTACAGGCGGGGGTCTTCAAACACTGGATCTACGGCTTGAGGATAATATGAGGGTGTACGAATCGGATTCCTTGGTTTAATCAATTGAGGCGGCATTATATCTAGGAGATCTGGACAACCATTATGAGAAATGGCAGTCATCCGTTGAAAGTTTTGAGATGGTGTAGTAGAAACCCTACGCTGGGTTAATTCAAAAGACTGAAGTAAGTCTTGAAGGGCGGAAGGTAAGTGATATATTGAGCTGTCTAGTCTTTCGTTGACATCTTCTTCGTCACTTCCGGCCCTGCTATTTGGAAGCGAAGCTTCTAGGTAATTAGTCGAATATCATAGAAGCTAGTATGTGATGCTACACACCTTGTGTTAATTCTTGTGTTTCGGTATCTTTTGATATATTAGCTATTGATCCACGAGGAGCATTAGATTGAGAATCATCTGCTGATCCAGGCTGCTGCAAGATAACATTATCTTTAGGTGTTATATTTTGCAAGTTGTATGTGGGCGGCTTATTTGGAGAGATTAATTGGTCCGACGGATAGGAATTAGATGGTGGTAATGGTAGTTTATTCGTAGAAATGCTTGCCGGCTGAGAGTGTACAGTGCTTGGTGAGGGAGCTAAGCTAGGTATTTTTCCATGTGAAGGTTGGGTAGAAAGTGGTAGATGAGTTGGATTAGAAGTTGATGGGAAAGCTTCGGGTGGTGGAGGTAACGGGGCAATCATTTTGTCACTAGACGCCGCCGCAGCAGCAGCTGATGCATATTTTAAGATTTCTCCTGGTGCCCTTGAGGGGGCAGCTGCGGGCTTCATATAGCTATTTGAGTTATTTGTGACATTTGATAAAGGTTGATGTAATGTTGCCGGTGCTGGTAATGGACTCTTTAAGTGTGTGGATGGCCGCCTTGCGGCGACCGTAAAAGTCTCCGGGCCAGTTTTTAACTTCCCATTTGAGCGATGTTCAGGCTCCAAGGTTTCCTCTTGTAATGATTGCGTGTCTTGAGATGACACCCGGTCATTGTCTATATTCATACCAAAGTTATCTTCTTCTTCCTGTAGATTTAGGTCGTCATACATCTCATCATCTTCCATAAAATCTTCATTCATGCCGTCTGAGACGTAGTATCTTAGGCTTTCTTCAAGGTCGTTAATTTGTTCAGTTTCAACGCCTCCGTTCTCTAGCGATCTTTTTATAAGCTCTAGCTTCCCTTGATGCCACTTGTGCCTCTCTGTTATCCTTTCAATTTCTGCCATTCTGTCGGCTTTACTTGACTGGTTTTTCCCTTTCTTCATAGTAGCTTGAATAGCTTCCCCTTCAGCCTCTAGAGTTTCAATCTGGCGCTCTAGTTCGTCCACCATATTTCCCAAGAAATCATATGCCTCCATTTTGGCTCGCTCCTTTGGATCTTGTTTCGTAGCAGCCGAAAGACCTTCTTTGGAGTAGGCCTTCGTTTTCATTGCTTTTTCTACAGCCTTGAACCGCTCCATTTGCTATACGATGTTAGACCAGACTATGGCTAGCCTATAAGCAACCTACGGTTTCGATGAGCTTCCGGTTATCAAGTAAGGGTGTCTTGTCTTTTATATCATTGCTAGCTGCCCAAGTTTTTATTTGATCGCGGAGGCGCTGTAATTTCTTTATCTCTCGTTTTAAATTATCCTCGAGTTTTTCTTTTTGTGCGGCATTCGTAGATTGTTCAATTTTCTCATAAATAGATTCAAATTCCGCGACACCCTCAGTTACTTTTTTGAAGCATTTGTCAACCTCTTGTTGAAGTTTTCTTGCAGCCATTCTAAGTTGCGCCTGGGAGGAAACTGAGTTACAAATGATCGGTTGGTTTGGATAATTTTGTGGATTTATGGAGGCTTAATATTCGGGCGCATCGATGTGCGGTCAATTTCGCTATTGAATTAGTCGACGGTAATCGGATATCAGATGATATTGTGAGGATCTTGACAGACGTGAGCGCATCTACTTTAATTGACCTGCCGGGTTGTACAAAAGCGAAACTGATAAGGCTGGTCCGTGCAAGCGATGATGAGGGTCTAGCTGTAATCAAGATGGTGACAGTTTTGTGTTGTGTACATCAAATGTTCACGATTATAATGCGCCGAAGAGCATAGCTGCAAACAGCTGTAGTTCCCATGATCCTTGTTGCCTAATTTTGATCACAAGCCCCAAGTCATCAGGACCCGTAACCAGTCTTCTCACCCTAACCATTTTCCCAGGTAGTCGAACGTTGCCTTTACTGACACGATCAAAAAATGAAAGGTGGGTCAATGACATTCCTCTACCAACTAAGACAATTCTCAGTGTTGATTTACTCTAGTAATAATTCAACGAGTTTTATCAGCTTCTGTTACTGTCGAACACAAGTTGATATCCAGCATTGGGAAGGGGATTCTAGTATTTGCTGCTATTGCACCTTGGGACACGGAGAAAGATATAGATCGGCTTGTGACTAAGCTTCTCAAATTAAGAATATGGGATGACGAGTCTGGCAGCAAAGTACCAAAGCTATTCATCAATCTATATCGAGGCTGATGATTATGAACTAACCAGTGGAAAAAAAACGTATGCGATATCAGCGGAGAAATCCTTTGTGGTACAAATATTAGAGAATTTATTAATTCCCTATCTAATCTACTTCAGTGTCTCAGTTTACTCTACTTGCATCCACGAAGAGAGGCACGAAGCCAAACTTTCGCGGAGCCCTTGGAAGCTCCCAGGCTAAAGATTTATATGAACAATTTGTGTCTAAAATAAGAGGTAGCTATTCTCCTGAAAAAGTCAAAGACGGAATATTTCAGGCCATGATGGTCAGTGTGCAAACCAATCTGCTATTTTTCATACGTACTTAAACTGAGATAGGAAGTCGCCTTAATAAATGATGGACCTGTGCATCTCCCTTGACCCTCCAAATTAAAAAATTAAATAATGAACTGATACTAAATCCTCATAGGTTACACTGGAAATGTCTACTGAACCTACTGACCCTGTTGACGATACCTCATCACTTGCTTAACTAGCACAATATAATTCTTGCAACTAGCAGAATGCTCTACCAAGTATCCATTCAATTACTAAGTACTTCAAGTGTATCCAGTAATGATCGAACAGCTGCTCAGAAATGTTCTATCCTTTATAAATATATAAGGGTAAGTATTCAATTACGGTTAGAGATCTGATACTTCTCATTTTTACCTAAAATACGAATAAAGTACCTGAGGCACAACGACTCCTATCAAACCTGTCCAAAGTACCATCTTGAGATATAAATCGTGGGAGAAGAATCTAGGGTATAATCTTGTTATCATCTGAAACAACACACTTGGGTTTCCGAAATATACATAGAATGAACATAGTAAAGCAGCTATTGTAATCGCTGACTGAACTAATGAAGGGCCAAATAACTTTCAAATTGTATTAGGGTTGTAAAATAACAAGCACAAATTTTACACTTGGTCACATCCGCCGCATTTTTGACACATTCGATGGGAAGTATTAGACAATTCCTTAAGTCCTAGTCGACAGTCACCCAAAATATCTATGGTTAGATCTATCTATGAATTATTATTTGAGCACTTACATTGGTAAAGTTTCGTTCTCTGGTTCATCGTATCGTACAAAGCTTATCAGACGTAGAGATCTCTACGATTATCAACTTGAGACGAAAGTATGTACAAGATCAAAAATTGTGTGCACTGGACCCAAACAAGAAGCTTGAGTCAATAATTCACACTAAACGACACTCTGAGGAGGATTCTCCAGTCTGATTTTTACATTTTTTTTAGATGATTTATTGTTATTTAACGTACCGGTCACAAGCCCTGCATCAAATTTGAAACGAAAAGGGTAGTTTGTCTCGAAATATTCAATATTACCAGGGTGGCCAGCATGACCAATTTAAAAAAATTGGAAAAACGGGAGAAACACACTCACAAGCTCTGAAGCCCAGGGCCTCGTCTGGATCCCCCGGCGTTATAAACCAAGAAATCAGTTTCTACGGTAACACCTTGCCTTGGGCATGTCCTTCTAATCATGAGCAAAGTAGTTAACTTTCACCTCCATCTAGCGAAGCAAGAGTGATGTGTCCTATAATTAAAGTTTAACCAGCAAATTCTAAAACTTTAGATGGGGGCTATTCTCAACCTCTGTCACTGGCCTCTCCTACGAATCTCCAGCCCTCACTGTAGAGTCTGCAGAGCCGAGATTGAGTAACGAAGTCCTCACTCCCATAAGGATTCCCAATCGCTTACGCGGTCTGTATCGTCTTCATCTCTCGACACATCCCCCTATCACCATTATCATGAAGCTAACGACGACCAGATCAGATGGTGGGGTCTTAGCCCTTTTCATCACCAAACCTTGATCACGGAGGAAAAGCCATCCGATGAGTTTCCGGAGCGCACCCAGCACCCGTAAAGGAGATGGTGGATTGGAACAAGTTGACCTCGAATGTCACAAAGAAGGGAGATATAGCTGGATATGCGCACCTCATGTGGTCCCGGTGTCCAGGCCTCGCCTGGCTGGGGCTGCAGATTTCTGAAGGCTTTTTCACGCGCACGCAGTTCCCATTTCTACCATTTTTGAAGTAGAAGGTTCGGTGGCAAAGGTGACCGAATTCCACGGGTAATCACTTAGCTGAATGGCTATTCATCATGGGCATTGTATCAATGATCTTTCAAGTAACAAAAGAGGATAGGAGCACTGTAAAAAGTGAGGGCTGGGCTAGGAAGGAGCCCAATGTGCTAGATAGTCTATGAATAAAGCAGTACAATAAAAACATCACATCATCATTATCATCTTCTATCACCATTTTTAGTATTACTCATGTTGGCCCTTCTAGGGAGTAGAGTCTATCGGGGCTGTTTGGTACCAACTACGAGATCCGACTGGAAGCAGCATCCATTTTCATTTCCGTGCTATCTTAGAGTACTGCGCCCGAGAGTAGCACACTTCTTACTCCATCTCATTCTGCTCATCTAGCAAACCCCGAGTTGACGATGGTGATGTGACGGATCATGTATAAAAAGCAATGAGCACTTGTGTAGAAAATAGCAGTTTATATTTTGATAAATGATGATCTATCTAGGGAATCGGATAGGCATTTACACATTCCTTTTTATATAGTCTTTGCGTCAAAAGCTAGAGCCTAGCACAACTCAGAACCTTTTTTATTTAATTACTTTTATTATTTCATTTTATTGTCCTTTCTGAGTCTATGACTATGTAGGACATGCAGGTCCTCTCTGCTTACAGGCTAAGCATACCTATGCCAGTAGTATATCCCCTCCTATGCCTCCCACCCAGCTCCCCTCAAACAGTACCACCCCTCACAAGTCCTCATTCGATCATACACTAAGAGGAGCCCTTTGCCCTTCATTATCTCCCCTCTCCAGCCAACAAAACGATGGCCATTTGCGGGTGTATGGCAGTAGGGAAAATTCGCAAAACCACTGGGTGCGGAGCTCTTCTAATACGGACATTACGACTAAGTCCGAAGACATAGTGCCCCTTCTGAAGCGTTCGAAGAGGCCGGCCAGCTGGGTGCTGTAGACTTATGTGTACCTGGGGGAATTCATCCTATGCCTTTCTAGCCTCCTTCCAGCTCCTTCCCGAAGGTCGTGCTGAAATGTCAGAAAAGTCTTGACAGAGCATGATTGCTGTATGGTAGCTTGGCCCAACTTCTTTTGTATTGTCCAGGGCGCTGGGGAGTGCCGTTGACTCATCGACAAAAGAAGTCCTCCTAGCTAATTAGCCTAAACTCCGTCTTGGCGCCGCAAATATTCCAAAGTTGAAAACCCCTCGAAAATATCGGTCCCAGCATGGTTTCCAGAGACCTGTCCCCCATCTCACCTCACATCTCAGCCGCCTGTCTTTCCTCAAGATGTATAGCCGTAGTAGAGCAGCAGTCCCCCATAAGCCAAGACCCAGGCTTTGTATTTTTCGACTTGATTTCCTCCTCGCGAGTATAAATAGCGTCGTAAATATATGGTGAGAGATGGCTGGAAATTAATGGCGCAAGTTCCTGTTTGCAATTGGAACAACTTCATTGGGCATTGAGGCGAGATGATGCGTGGTTAGAGAGAAGTTTAGGACTCAGATGTTAATGATGAGAGAGGCATTGTCAAGAAGTCGTCAAATGGAGATATGTTTGAGGTTGCTTTGGACTTTAAATCGGATGCGATTCTTCTTGGCTATCCCAGATATGCAGAGCATACTCAGCGATTACACCGGCACCACTGGAAGGTGAATAATTCGTCTTCGCCGGCTATTCGGGCCTGTAGGGCCGCTCTATTCTCTTCGACAAATCGACAGATCTGTTGATCAGTTGTGCATGCCAACAGGTTCATGTACCAACTAACGACGCGCCCTACATTTCCGAAGGGTAAATTGCAATCGTTCGCTTAATCTGCGAGGAAGTTAGTCATGATGGCACTCGATCAGTCGACAGGAATTGGAGTTAAGCCCTGGCAGCTCACCTCGCAGATCATCGCTGCGTTTGGTATCGTATTAATTGAGTGGTTCAGTGGCCATGTGAGGACCATTTTGACTTCAGGATACGTCGAATTCACGCTTGGGAGGGCGGCCCAGAGGTAGCTTCTGCAAATGATTGAGGAGGTACGGTGATAAGAAGGAATTAGAAATTAATTCAATAATAAATCAGCATGAACAGGAGTTTGTCTGTGACAGATAGCTGGTGTGACTTTTTGTAGTTTACGTGTACTGTGAGGCGCGCCTAATTTTGATTTTGATCGTGCTAGTGCACAGCTCATAACGATTCTCTCGTCTCGGAATACCATGTGCCGGAAGAGCTATCCGAACTCTGGCGCGGCCTTCGGCACCCAGCAGCCACAAATTGCCCTCACAACTGCCTACAGCTCTATGATCGCCGTATTGCAACTCGCACAGGACTGCCGTCTTTGCAGCGGACTATTGCCGCTTCAACCATATCACAGCCTCAATTTACTGCAAGTGCTGTAGAGAAGACTGACCGGACCACCTCGACCAGTAAAACAACACTGTCTGCTTGGCGACTGAAAAGCGAAGGGCGCGGGTGTTGGAAACTCTGCTCGGATCATAGGCCTATTAATTGTCGAAGAAGCACGTCTAGGACAGTGGAATAAATACGTTTGTAAGTTGAGGCAACAGAGGAGTGACAATGCCAGGAATTTTGTGAGCCGGGAGCCATGGGTTATGGCAGTATAGTTAAAATCTAAACGAGATGAGGCTTGGGCGTGTGTAAGCCGAGGCAGAAGGTTGAAAGGGAATGAATGAAAGTTGATTCGTGACGGGCACAAGCCCTGCACTCAAAGAGCATGACATGGAGAAGGCGAGTCCTTGCTCGACGACTAAATACGACAATAACTCAGTTTGACATTTGGACTATTCATGTAGTGGGTGCATTCCCTGATACCACTTAAGACCTTAGTGCTAGGGACTTTCACCCTTCCCTCAACCGTTAATATCCACCAAAGGGAAAACAGAAAAAACCTTTGGCTGCCCTAACATACTTTTATCATCTTGTGTAAAGCCGCCGCGCGAGATATGGCCTCACAGTCCTCCCTTTCTCGAGTGAGGTAGGTGTCCAGGCTACCTAGACTTTAATTCGGGGAGATGACGACCAGGAGATGGACTAAAACACCTTCCATCGTTTCCTGTTTATAGAGTGTTGGTTGCACTATCCGAAATCGTAGCCTCGGCGCCTACAGATACTCGAAAGTCGAAAACACTCGAAAATGTGCGTCCCAGCATGCCCATTTGTGACTTCTTCACTCGTTCGTCCCACGTCCCAGCTGCCTATCCTCCCTCAAGATGTGAAGCCCCATTAGAGCAAAGGTCCCCCATAGACCAAGACTCGAGTTTTGTAGATTATGACTTGATTTCCACCTCGCGGATATACATAGCGTCGTAAATGTGTAGTGGGAGATGGCCTGTTTTTGATGAAGCAAATTCCCGATTGCAATTGGAGTAACGCCATTATTGGTATTTGAGGCGAGGCGGTGTAGTAATATTGAGGTGGAGTACTCGCGTGAGAATGATAGGTCCGACATTGATGATGAGTCGTCGATTTTAGATGTGCTTCTGAGTGCTTTCGAGCTCGATTCGAATGCGATTCTTCTTTGCTATCCCAGATATGTAGAGCACATTGAGAGATTACACCGGCACCACTGGAAGGTGAAGAATTCGTCTTTGCCGGCAAAATTGAAAGGGAGACGGTTATGTTATACTTTTTTAATGTGAAATTTCGCGTGAAGGTTTTCTTTTATTTTGACCACGGGCTGCTGGACTCGTCATGATTCAACGCATAGATGCGTTTCGGCTTGGCTCCAGCCATTTAGGAGGGACATGGCATATTTGTCCTTCATGGTGGTTAACCTGATCCGGCCTGACCCTAGTAGGAATACGATGGGTGACACTTAACCCAACACTTTAATCATTAGACAACAAACAGACAGCTGTCCGTCACTCTGATAATCTATGCGTATGTAGCAAGATTCCCTCTACCAGGAACTTTACCTCTTTGCAAGCAGTTCTTTAGAGACTGATCCGCCCGACACGTCACTATGGTTTCGCGCAGTAGACTAGCATAACGTTAAATTCAAAGTCATAATTGAATCATTCGTCTATCTCGGTTTGGTTGCAGAAGCGATTGAATTTCCATGTATATGTAGAGAATTCAAATTACCGACGCCGATTGTGACGATGCTTATTGCCGAGTGATAGTATTCAATTGCAAGAATATTAATATCTACACTCAGCTAATCCCCATTACCATCCATCGTTACACAGTGCAGGCAGTACACGTCCAGGAGATGAATGCTGTGGCAGTTGGTTACTCAAGGTGACTCTTGTCACTGGAGCTGGTCAGACGATCGCTAATCTGATCTTGGCTATCGAGGGTTACACCATCTAGGAAATTCCTTTTGTTTGACCTTCAAAGTGATAATAGCTTTGTGTGACTCGAGGAGACTCTTGTTTACGGTCAATTTAATGCGTTACAGGCCCTTCAGAGGCACGATATGATTGCAATGGGTCGATGGACGACCTCTTTTCAAAAGTGACAATCTCATTGACGGGAATGGGAATATCAGGTCTACTTTTAGTTCCGGTCTAATTATTCCTGCTCTTTATCACCCATAGCTTGGTGTTACGTGACACCAACAATGCTCTAGGTCTTCCGAACCTGCATTACTTTGCAGATTTAATATCACGGTATTTAGCCATTATTTCTCTATTCGAAAAAAGTGACGTGATTAATACTTCAGAGCTTTGCTTAGGAGAATGCGGGGATGAGACATGGTTGTGATAGATGGTCTAGACCCAGTTCTCATCTCGACTGACCGAGTTACTGCTGCTCTCAGATATCTATTGAGTCGATAAGACATTTATATCCAGTCTCTGACAACGCATAAACTGCTGCTTTAATCCTTTTGTTGGCTGGGTAGAATGCTGAGATTTGAGTAGATGTTTTCGCCGTTCGCCGCCACTTTATTTATACCACTACTATTATTTCGCAGCAGTACGAATTAATCCTGGGTAAAGCCATAATGATCGTAGATTGCTGCTGATCTAATTGTGGATTGCTCCATGCGTAAGAACTAGCTTGGTGTTTGAGGGTACGTAGACTCTTTTAGTGGAACTATTTCTGGCCCAGATCATTGGGGATCGCTTTCTTCGCTTCGACAAAATCTGTTTCCGGCATTAATAACACTTGGGTTATCTCTGCTAGTGCCGTTAATATCTTCGAGATCTTTCCTCCATCAAACATTTTAGTCTCTCTGCCAAGAACTTGCAAGTGTTTTTAATGTAGTCGTGGATGGTAAGATCTAGCGTTTAGGTCTCGTTCATTTCTGTTCCTTTGAACTTTTAAATGCTTATTTTTCCACACAGTGAAAGCTTCCATGGTCTAGTGAGAGATGAGATTATTCCAATCATATTTGGTAGAGCCCCCTTACGAAATAAGCGTGTCTAGAAGCTCTAGCCACTCATAGATTAGCTAATACCCTTACGGTGGGTAAATTGGGGACTCAAAGCGGCAAAAGTATGAGCAAGAATTTTGCACTAATGTACTCACAATAAGTACACAGGTCTGCTGCGCCCGGCTGGTCGGCCTCTTCGTCATAGGAGAGCCCCACACCCAGCGGTTTTTGAGACTTTTCCCTGCAGCTACACACCTGCAAATGGCCATCGTCTCGTTGGCTGGAGAGGGGAGATTATGACAGAATAACGGCTCCACTTAGTGTGTACTCGAATGAAGACCTATGGGGATATCACTGCTGGAAAGAAGTCGTGAAGGAGGCATAGATACTCCCGGCCTCTGGGTAGAAAAGACCTTCATGTCCTTAAATATTTATTGACTCATTATTACAATAAACACTAACTCACTCACAATAAGTGGGGGACTATTCTCAACACCTGTCAGTGGTGTCTCCTACGAATTTCCAGCTCTCACTGTAGAGTCTGCAGAGCCGAGATTGAGTAACAAGTCCTCATTCTTATAAGGATTCCCAATCGCTTACGCGGTCTGTATCGTCTTCATCTCTCAACACATCCCCCTATCACCATTATCGTGAAGCTAACGACGACCAGATCAGATGGTGGGGTCTTAGCCCTTTTCATGACCAAACCTTGATCACGGAGGAAAAGCCATCCGATGAGTTTCCGGAGCGCACCCAGCACCCGTAACGGAGATGGTGGATTGTATCAAGTCGGACTCAACTATTACAATGAAGGGAAACATAGATGAATTTGCGCATCTCGTGTGGTCCCGGTGTCTAGGCCTCACCTGGCTAGGACTGCAGGTTTTTTAATAATTTCTCCTGCGCATAGAGCTTCCGTTACTACCATTTTTTTTGGTAGAAGGTTCTGTGGGAAAAGTGGCTGAATTTCACGGGTAAGTACTGAGCTGAATGGCTAATCATCATGGGCAATAAAACAATGATCATTCATGTAACAATTAGCATATTGTAGTGGTGGTAAGCCATTTGACACGGGTTTTACCGTGACGTAATGCGCATAAACTTTGCTAGAATCATTAAATAAAATCTCCATGCTTCTTCTCTGTAGATAGGAGCACTGTACAAGAGCTAGCCCAGGTCAGAGAGGAGCCCAATTGGCTGGAAAGTCTATGACTCAGGTAGCACAATAAACACATCTATCAACACGCTCAATCCTCACACATACACTAAACAATATATTAGGCGCTAAGATCCAGTCAAATCTACATGGATAAACATCAGCTGATTGGATCGTCTAATATATTTTCCGACTGGTTATGGAACATTCCAGCACTTCCCCGACAGCTGCATTGTGAATATTAGGCCCCCCTCTCACCTTCGCAGTAGTTACAGGTAATCCTATCAAATATGGAGGGAAAAAAGAAGCAAAGTATCGTATATTTTGACATCTCTATTGGCAAGCAAAATGAAGGTAGAATTGTCTTCAAACTTTACGATGACGTGGTTCCAAAAACGGCCGAAAACTTTCGAGCTCTTTGCACCGGCGAAAAAGGCACGGGCAAATTGAATAAACCTCTCTGCTACAAGGGATCAATATTCCATCGGGTGATCAAAGAATTTATGATTCAAGGAGGCGATTTCACTGCTGGGAATGGAACAGGCGGAGAATCTATTTACGGGACCAAATTTGAGGACGAAAACTTTCAAACCAAACACAGCAAGCCATTCCTCCTTTCTATGGCAAATTCAGGTCCAGGTAAAATTCTTTTCTAGTAAATGGAAACACTCAAGCTCATCAGTTACAGGAACAAATGGGTCCCAGTTCTTCATAACTACTGTTGCAACTCCACATCTTGACGATAAGCACGTAGTATTCGGTGAGGTTCTGAGTGGAAAATCTGTTGTTCGTAAAATTGAGAACCTACCAACAATCCCTGGTGACAAGCCTTCTAAAAACGTCACAATAGCCGACTGTGGGCAGCTCGCAGGCGAACAAGCTGATGATGTCGCCCAAATAGTCCCCGACCCTACAGGCGACCGATATGAAGATTATCCAGAAGACAATAATAAGACTTTGAGTTTTGATGAATTAATTAAAATCGCTACAGAGATGAAAAATATTGGCAACGCTTTGTTTAAATCTGGTAATCTTTCGATGGGGATTGAAAAATACCGCAAGGGTTTGAGGTATCTCGATGAAACTTCGAAGCAAGAAGATGGAGTTAAGGAAGTGTCAAAGACAGTATCGGAACTCCGCTATACTCTACACTCGAACTCTGCGTTAGTCGCCAACAAGATGAACAACTACGACGAAGGATTGACACACGCTAAGGCCGCATTAGAGACTTCAGACCTTGGTGATAAGGAGAAAGCAAAGGTATTATACCGACGTGCTGTGGCTCACGCTGGTTTGAAGGACGAGGAAGGCGCTCTCAAAGACTTGCAGGAGGCAAATAGTCTCGTACCTGGCGATCCAGCTGTAGTTGGTCTCCTTAATACCGTGAGACAAAATCTCGCCGAACGTTCTAGAAAAGAAAAGGCGGCGTACAAGAAATTCTTCAGTTAGGTATTCGTTATAAATTAATATAATCATCAACAAGTCTGATGATGATTTAAATTTTGCATAATCCCCGTATTGATTATCATATAAGATGGCCATAGCGACAAAAAATTTCACACCCGAACTTCATAATCACAACCTGGCAGCTTCTGACCCGATACTCTTCCACATTTTCGCCGGCGAGAGGCGACCTGATCTGCCCTTTCCTCCGGTACTGCCGTTTTCAGACTAAGCTTCATCTACACTAAGGGCCCGTCGAAAAGTGTTCTAAGTTGTATTTCGACAACCCTATAATGGGCGAGAAAGCGACATCGAAGACGGACTTCGCAGTTTGTTGTTTGATGTTGGTCTCTTTGAACTCGTACCATTAGCCTGCAATATTTCTGCTGAGAAAGACTAATTTATAGCAACAGAACTTGCAGCACTCACATCAAATCGAGGTCGAAGGCAGGGCATCTAATTTATGACTATAGGGAGCCAGCGTCTATGATGGTGAGGGTGCCACACAGGATTATTAACAAGGAAACCATCGTTGGTCCTATAATCTTGCTTTCAAGTCGCCATTTCGAACAATCATACTGAATTGAAGGTGCTCGTATAAACCTCCAAAAATGAAAGTTGAAAATTTCGGTAGGGAGTATGTAAATGTAATGTAGCTCATATTGTTAATGTGAAAGCCTCTTGTTTGCCTATGAGAAACGAGAGGGAAAATCTGAGTTCCCTTACTTGTTGAGCCATTGAGGTTAAAACCTTTTAAACAAAACCTCCGGCCCATGACGGATCCATGAAATTTTCTTCAGAGCCTCGATTGAGGACTTCTTCATGGTCCTTCCCTTTGCGCCTAAGTCCACCAAGGAAAGCTCTTTGACTCCTCCCATCACGAGTGAATCCTTGATTTGTGGAATTAGTTGGACTCAAGTCCATTCCTTCTGACAGTATGGTTGCTAGTTGTTGCTCGACAAGTACTGATGATCGCACTTGTCTATCCAGCTTGATGTCTCGTCCTATGGAAGTGTTCAAAGGTTTTTCGGATGTGGCGAGAGGATAATTCCGAAGGCCTCGAAGTAGGTTTGTGTCAGATGATCTCTTTGATCGGGGAGTTTCCATAATTATATCATTACTCGGACTTCGTATAAGATCACTAGAGGGTCGCGGTGAAATTCTCTGGGGGCTATCGGTCAACTGCTCTGCCTTGAACAGACACTCATCTGTGCGCTGCTGAAGTCGAAGACAGAGCTGATGAAATTCATGTACCTCCTCTTGAGCGTTATCAATAGTCATCCCTTTTTTTGTAGCTTCAAGCCATATCTGTACCAATCGTGAGAAATTTTGGGCGTGGTCAATTAGGTATGGTAATGATGGGAAACCTTCCCTAGATGTTGGCGGGAGGCGACCATAAATAGTAATAGGGGTCGAATATGACGCTGGTAGAATCGAATTGTCGTGCTCAACCGGGATAGCACAAATCATATCTATAAAGTCCTTCATTCCTTGCCGATGTGTTGCCAGGAATTGATTCATTCTCTCCATCCATGCTTCTTTCTTTCCAAACTTCGAAAGATTGGCTAACGCTTGGAGACTCTTGGCAATCAGTGTCAGAGTTCGTTGGGCTTTGGGTTGAGGATGATCTCTCAAAAGCCCGAATGATTTGGGGTTTAACAAAGCCGGACAAAAGAACCGAAGAAAAAGAAACCCAGAGACACTAGTATATGTCACGGTTCGTAAGAAGTTGCCATATCGATCCTCGGCGACAGCACGAATATATTTGAGGATTTGACGCAACTCCGGAGGGCATCTCGTCGCAGAGTTAGCAATGCTATCCCAAACCTCTGTCGTAAGGGTGAATATGAGAGTCCAGTTCTTGTCGCTATCATTGCTGTTTGAGATACGAGATGGGTCAACTTCGCAGTCTGGGTTCATCGAATTTATTTTTAAAATCTTTTCTGATAGGACATCCTCAAGATATTCTTTGCCAACTCTCCTCATGTGAAGGTCTAATGATTGTGTTAGCAAAGAGTTGCCCCGGAAAAGTAAGTTAGCCTCTTCTTGCAACGATTTACCCATATCCCTAACATTTTGCTCACGGTCACTCATGGCAAAGAAAAGTGACTCATTTGAATTGACCCTTTTACGCCGCCCAATTCGGCAATCTTTGGGCAGCTCCTTCTCAGGGCCATCCACTTCATCTTCAACTAGAGTCATAAGCCATTCTCCTGCATATCCAGATACCTGGAATATATTCATCATCATCTCTGATATAAGTTTCAAATTCCCGTGTACTAGCTGGGAGATTTGTATAGTTAACCCGTTACTAAAATTATGTAAAAGCTCTGATATCGGTTTGTAGTCGTTGGCCAACAGCACAATTACCTCTTCATACTTGACGCCCAAGAGAAGCTCTCCGACAATTTCGAATTGCTTATCTAATACTGGCCACCAGTTTTCATTATCTTTGTTACGATCAAGGGAGTCAACAGATATTTCGGACGTCCACCCGACAATTGTGGCCGAGCTATATATACCCATAGCGTTTGGGGTTGAAGATCGAGATGATACTGACTTTTGATTTACACGCTTTAATACTAGCCTTAGACTTGGTGGGCGTGGTGGAAGGTTTTGAAATCTGTATTCCTCCCGCCAAAAGGGATTGTCTGTCTCGTTTTGCGTACTCGTTCGAGCTCGAATCTCACCATCCAAGATAACTTCTGCAAAGTAGTCTCCAGTAGAGGTTTCAATCTCTTCTTTAGCTTGCTTTCCTGTTGAGATAGACTTTGATCTAGCTACTTGATTACAGATTTTTGCTTCCAAAATCCGAACTTTAAGGCTCTTTTCGATGCGGAACATGTCCTTAGACAAATGTCGGGATGGAGTGACTTGAGAGGTTTCTCGTCTACTTGTGCTGTTGGATTTCCAAGGTCCGTATATTTCTGGGATTGTGAAAGCACGGAATAAGCAAAACCAAACTTCGTGCGTTAAACGCGATTCAGAAGAAATGTAGATGGGATGGGATGTCGATGGAGAAGACGATACATAATGCGGAAAAATGGCTATACAGAACTCCTCATCTAGTACTGATCGATCAAGTATTTGAATAGAGCACCGAGAGAGCTGCGAAAGCTGTATGACTGACAATATTGTATTGTCGTTTTCGCTTAACAGCTTAAATTCACCAGTATCCTGTAGTATGCAAGACACTGGTCTCCATGGTGACGGAGATGGTGAACGTAAGACTCTTACTGAAGATTTCCGAGTAGTGGATACCTGGGATGATCGCCTTTCTCTATCCCACAATAATAATTTAGCCACCTTTATGATGTTTCCATTGCCCGGATTTTTCGGAATATAGCTGCCTGTAGGGTCTGTATCGTGAAACACGTTCCCTTCAGTTGTATCAGAATTAGGAATTGTCTTGGCTATAGAATCAGATCCAATCTGTTGCCAACATAATAAGGCAGCTAGCCACAAGTCGTAATCAGCTTCAAGTTTGGGGATAAAGTTGAAATATATTCCCAGCGAACGATTTGAAAGCACAAGATATTTTAACTGGCTTTCTGCGACCTCTCCTGTCTTGATCTGCAGTCCTTTTAAGTCAGGTATTACTGTGGTAATTACAGATCTTTTTTGTTCGTTTTCGTACATCAATGACCCATTGATATAGTCGATATAGAATAGGCCTCGGCGTGACTTTAATCCATCATATCCTTGGCATTCTGCTTCACCCCTCATCCGACCACATAAGTGTTTCATTAACATTGATATTTTAACTGTTTCGGCCTTATTCTCGATAGAAGGCAAATGTGATGTAGACGCTTCAGATGTGATGACTGGAGCAGGGTAGGCTGACTGAGATGTTCTTCTTGTAAGTAGGCTTCGCGTTGACTTTGGGATTTCATCCTGTATAATGTTTAGACCTACGACACCTATATCAAATTACCTCACTCACAACCTGCTTTTCCCGTCTGGGGCTAAGGATTTCTGAACTATTTTGGTGGTCTAGTAGCGTATTATGCGCTGCCCAAGTACCTCGCCGGCCTTGGATGATGGAATCTGGTGGACAAACAGGAAAAACCTGACCATACGGTCGATCACTCGGCCTTTCCATGACTTACTGTTCTGTTTTGTGCTATCCGCTTGCGAAATTGATGGGAAACAAATCTGACTTCTCAATTCCTGGTCTGAGTAAAAATAGTTGTTCTATAGTATTATCGTCAGTTTTTGCTGGGTCCTCCGTCGGGTTGGAATATTAGAGGATAAAAGTCGCTATGAGTCTCCATGTACAATGCTTTCTTTACCGGGGAAATGATAACCTACTTGCGCTCATCTCTGTCAAGGAAAAATTTGGTTGCAGCGGATAATCAGGACAGACCAAGATCTCTGAGTTCGGAGAGCAATCCAAATTCTGGCGCACGCTCTGAAATGGGATGAGCAATGTAGTTCTCGAATGCCAGTGCCAATTTTCGACACCTCTTCATGATACACACTGTATCAAGCTCAATAGTAGACCTGTATCGATGTTTGATGGAAGCAGTGTTCGTTGTAGTTGCGGAAGGGACAAGGCGCCTAATGTCGCATTTAGCATGAGGATCATCCCATGGGCTAGCGGAGCAAACGATGTAAGGAAAGAATGGGGTGTGGGTCTGATCGGATGCAGATAAATTGCGCGAGGCTGTCGAGATCTCGCAACCCTCCCTAGTCTTCGGAAAAGAGAATGATTTGCTACTGCCTTGCACGGAGTGTTGGAAGCGTCCCAAACTCAGCAAAGTCGCATGACAAGCCAGCAAAAGGCTTAATTTGATAGCTATCGGCAATATGGCGCTAGCCAGGATATGAGGCGTCAATGACGATCTGGCGTTGGACCCATTTCATATGAAGTCTCAAGACGCTAACTAGCTCTAGACTTAATTCAGTCTCGGCCTATTGACTTCTCTACAGCAGCTGCAGCATCATGAACTTTGTGATTTGCAACGAACTACAAATACTAAGTCTGGTTAAGTTCAATGCCATTATTGTATCCATCCCACACAGTCCAAAACAAGTTGACTCTGGGTCTTAACTCTTATCTAGGAACCTAAAATATCTTGCGTGGCGACAAACAATGCCTACGATAGTCTATAACCATCCTAGTTCACAAAGTGCGCCAATGCTATCAGACAAAGACATACATTGCAGTTACATAATTGGCAAAATTCTTAAGGCAGAGTTTTTCAAAGATGGGAGCACAATTGTGTACAATCCATGATAGACTTTGTGCGGAGCAAATGAACGCAAAGTATTACCAACGTCACCCAGTTCGACATTAATATAGCTGGCGCATCATAAGTACTGCAAATCTTGAGGTACTCTATTCCATAACTTGGAGCGGAGCATCCTTGCATTATGAAATGCGTCTTCAAGCTTTTTAAGAAATTCTACGCTGAGACAAGCTTTAACAGCTACATCGATGTAGAAAGACTCACCCTACATAAGCCTTATCTTTAGTGAATCTATGCTTTTTTCTATTTCTAATAGACCTATTTTAAAAAGATGATGATAAAACAACCGGCAAATCACTAGTGGACAAATGAGGTTGATATTTAAACATCTATCAGATTACAACTTTCTGCCAAATTTCTGGTTGATGAATTAGTACCACTTGAATCCTAGATTTGTGTCTGGTAATTCGATAGGCCTTGGGGTATTTTCATGAATTGTTTTGTAAATGCCTGCTATGAAGCACCCACTGAAAGTTACTGAACCTAGTTAATATTTTTAGGTACCAGGGCACGGAGCTGGGCCAGACACTAAACCTTTGGAAACCCTGGTCATTAAGCAAGCTCATTTAGACTTTGACCCTATATGCCTATTTGAAACAGCCCGTTGCCGGTTTTAGCTTGGGTGGAATACATTCGAGCTACAGGGTGTGGTTTTGGGTCCATGAGTTAAGGATTGACACAATCCAGGACTCCGCACACTACTGACATCGGAGATAACAATGCCCCAAAAATTGGTATCGCGTGGGAAATAGAATAGAATTCAGGTTCCTATTGAGACTAATATAATGAACGTTGTTTCTCAATCTCAGAGCGGCGGCTATTGTAGGGTTTCTTTGGGGCGAATTAACAAATAAATTATATTAAGTTTACATATACCAACTACCTCTATCCCAGGACTCCTCTCTAAAGGAACTCTACACAGGAAAAGTTTTCTACGTCAGCTCTGACCACCTTTCCTTCTATGACTAGTTCATGAATAATCTAGAACTCCTTCCTGATTAGTTTCAGGATTAAGTGTACTCCAAGCAGATTGGAGTACTGCATGCGATAGTATTCCTACAATGAAAGACTGCTAAAGCTATCTTACTGGCCTTAAGTTAAAAGTACTTTTGTTGGTTAAGTTGACAATGATGGTTAGCCAAGTATGGTAGTCAAGCAGGATAAACTAATAAAGAAAACGACAGAGTATGGTTTGTAGAGAGATGCGAGAACATGCATGTAGAGAGATACCAATTTCATACCTTTAGTACAATTTACTTCTCTCCGCAGCGCTAGTGCTACAGCCTTGTCAACAACTTTTTGAAATCAAGTCTGTTCCATATGTTCTGATATACACTGAGATTCATAGCTTGACTTCTCGTGGGGAAGGACATATAAATAGAGAATAAATGATACAAGTACAAAACTTGGAGATTAATTGCTATACAGCGAAGAGGATTTCGAAAGTAGTAATGCTGAACAAAGAAGATCATGTGCCTATATTGCTCACGCAGCCAAAGGTTTAAATAGGAAGGTAATTATAGCAAAAAATATTAGGCTCGTAAAACTTTTGGTGCACTATATTGTACAAGATATGTAGCCGCAAATAATTGTTGATGGAAACAACTGGACTAAGGATTTTTCAAATCTTCATCAGATATCAAATTTTCAAAAATCTACCCTCAAGGCCTACGGATTATATTTCATTTAAATTTCCTACTGTTTTTAAGATGAAAGTTTACTAAAAAAAGGCGTCTATACTACTTGACTTTAATCACTTTTATAAAGTCTTATTTACTCAAAATTTTCTCGTTGATTTATGGGTCGTGCACCTTTCTCGAGGCAGAGGATGGTAATTTAAATAATTTATTCCATTGTCCTGATTTGGCGCCTTGAGGCCCATGTAGATTTTTACTGGAAGACATGTACTTTAAGTAGGATGACACAATGTGACGTTTTGAACACTCACACTCAGATTTCATCTGCAGTTACCAGTCGAGGATAACGCTTACGGCGTACAACATCTTCCATGCATATCAACTACAGGGAAAAGCGTGGAAAGCCTGTGGCAGTCCAAGTGTGCATTCATCATCCCACAAATACATTGTCACCGCGAGAGAGTGTGGTGTGTGGGTCTTACTGGATACGAACCAGCTTTCTCCTATCTCAGATGGGGTAGATGTTCAAGCTACCCAGTATCTACTTGGGAGAAGGGCCCGAATGGTATAATACTGCACCATCCAGCCCGAGAGAGCGTTACGGTTGGATAACAATAAGACATTTATCACAGTCATTTCCAAGTCAGAGACTATGAAGGTCTTCGATGATAGGTTTACAATACTCTGTCTCCATCAATATAGTTAGATTTTGGACACGTTGTTTAAATTCCCACAAATTATTAGTGACATGCCCTTGTTAAATGGTTGAACCGTTTCTTCCATTTCTAGTCCAAAAAGTCTTGTGATTCTCCACACAGCATTAAAAAATTATGGGATTATCTATGTTTGCAAATATATACAAGAAATATAATTATAAGTGGTGGCCCTGCGATTGAACCGTCCCCTTACATTCTCAGAAAGTAAAAATTAAGCGAAAGGATGGTTTTCATAGCAGCCCTTCTCGGCAAAACATAAAATTAAAAAGGTCCAGAATCAGCACAAGCTAGTTGGTAGGGGTTAGTTTGTCATATTCATGGGTACTTAACGCTTAAGATGAACCTTTCCAGCATCCGATCGGTTTCATCTCATCGAAGTTCCAAGCCATTGCATTAGCAGATGCTCTACCAGCCACTGCGAGCGAAAGTACACGGACACCTATGTATATAATTATTCGCAAGGCCTTGCCTAGGAGAAAAGAATTGACACGTAATTAAGTAAAAAATAACATCACTGAAAAGATGATGAGAACTCAACATTTGTACACGGTATTCCCGCGAACCTCCAGCTGTCATCGTATAGCGTCCAGAGCCGATATTGGGTACAACAATAGTTTTGAAAATGTATCTTGTCAACGGGTCCACGCAGCTTCTTCAATCTAACACATTACAAAGAGGTTGAGCTGTGCTACAGTACAGCATACATCTTGTGAAGACCTTACCGATACTTCAATGCAACCTTCAATTTGTCTAGAGGCGCAAATGATGGAAGTATTCAAAGAGAGGCCACAATGACATATAGAGATTCGCTGAAGTACACAATATTCCTACTATACCCGGTATCTTGAAAGATTTGAGAATAGCAATGTTTTCAGAAGTCGTGATGTCGGTATTAAGTCAGTTTTGTACCTAGCTTTCTTGGATTTTCTTGGCAACTATACTCCAGCAAATTGACTGAAATTTGTTGGGTAGTGAGGAGATATAATGGGGAACAAAGAGTTTCTTAAACTGTACAATTAAATCAGGGTTTATGGTGAGTGAAACTTTCCAAGGGGTGCTGTATAAAAGGCATAGGAAATTAATCAACAAGCTTAAGTAAAAATTTGCTTAGCCTTTAGGCAGAAAGGTTTTACACAACCTTGGTGTTGTCAGGTTGAGGAAATATTTAACACGAAAAAAACTACATGGAGATGAGGGTGGGTAAAAGCACTTTAGGTTCCCTGGGGCCGTGACAGATTCTAATGGAAATCATTGCTCGACCTTCTGATCCTGGGGAGAACATGTGGGGTTAAGGGGTTTCAGCTGACACCTCAGCTTCTTATGGCGACAGCGCTGCTCTTCATCGACATAGCCGTACAGATTTGCAATTGCAGCGGCTTAAGCTAGCCCCACGATATCCCGAGTGAATACCACAACTCTGAAAGGGGACCAGGAACGCTGGATTCACGACGAACCTTATCTCCTACATCCCTGGACCCTGTGGACGCGAGCTGCATT